TCTCTTTTTTAGAGCATGGAGAAAATAGTTATTTTTTTTTGGACCTTTCTACTAAAAAAGCGCAGCAGGAAAAATGGAAGATTTCCGGATATACTAGGAAAGAGACAGCTTCGAATTTCCAGCAATTGGTCTCGTCAAGAAATTTTCTAAAACTGTTTTAATGCTATTACTAAAGATTCATTTCAAATTTTCAGTAATAAATTTCTATAGTTATAATTTCGAGTAAATTTATTAATGACTAAAAATGGAAACATTTCAAGCTTTGGTGCCATATTAAACGAACCGCTCGAACCCTTATATTTTTGAAATAATCGTTGCCACGCAACTCTCTAAAAAATGAAGAATTTAAATTTCGCGGAACAATTGTTGCGAATCAAATTCTTCCTTGTAGAGTATTCGCCAGTGTGTTTTGAAAAAAATAATTTTTAAATGAAAATATGTTTTATAATCAGCATATTTAAGAAGCTTATAATATTTTGATAATCGAAAACTATCTGCGCTGGATATTTCAAATCCACGTGTATCATAGGAAGGAAAAAAATTGTCGATAAAATTGTTTAGAGAAATATTGTGAATTTCAGAATATTAGTATAATCATATATTATTTCATAGTCTATTATTTTTCAAACAGAACAACATTATTCGCGTTCTTTCCATGATTTTAATACCTCGGCGATTCGAGATTTTTGGGGTAGCCTAACATTCAGCGAATTTTTCACTTTTCCCAGATATCAATGATTCAATTCCCACTCTATCAAAAAAAAGTGCGGAAACTTTAAAAATTCTGGAAACAAATTGCAAAACGTGTGGAAACAACACTGGTCGCCGGAAACGAGTCATTTGCTGTCAGACTGATTTGTAATTTCCTGCATTTCTTTTTCTTCCATCGTCAAAAAGGCTAAGAATCAAAAAATTTTTCCTTGTTTGCTCTATTTGTTGATCTATTTTTGTGTGCATCTTGAATGAATTTTTTAAATTAAAAAAAAAACTTGAAAAAATCCCAAAAAATTCATTCATTTTATGCTGATGAAACATCATTCTCAATTTCCCGCTGATGAAGATAATCCAAATCTAACAAAAAGTAGCAATTCTCATGTATTATAACAATCGAATTACGCATAATATAATATCACTAATCCTCAAAAATTGTTTATTTTCTAGTTTTTTCTAATTACGTGCACATCATTTGACAACGAACTGAACTCTAAATCAGAACCCATCGATCACTGAAAATCGTTATCAATATGCTGTCTATAACTATCATTTCAATTTTTGCTCAAAACATTCAGGAAGCCAATTTTTGAGTGCTAATTCATTTAATTCTCAACAGAAATAAATTGTCAGCTAGGAATTCTGAATGTAACTTCTTTTATTGACTATTCCTTCTCCCCTCCTTTACGCATGCTTCCTAGTGTCTTATGCTCTTTCAGCACAAACTCCGCCCATTAGTTCCGGCATATTATCTAATGAAATATATAATAGTAAAAATATTCATTAGTCATAATTTTTATTTCTCGCTTTTATTTTCTTTTTTTTTCAAGTTTATATATTTCCTGCTGTAAGTAATATCAAATACCCCTTAGATGTTAAATGAAAAAATAGTTTTGCTTTGTTTTAAAGCCTTTAAAAGTCAATTGTTTATTATTATTAACTATTCGCATATTACTTACTTCATAGCAAGCTGTCAAAACAAAACAGATCTAAACTATTTTGTAATATTTTTTACTGAAATTAGTAATCAATTCCTCTCACTTATTCTGATGTTCCGATAATTTTTTAAAGATGCTTTTCAAATATCATAGGGGCGAATTTGATAGCGCTCTTATATGCTTCTTTTTATAGTGGCCACCCGGTTCATTTCAAATTCTTAGTAATCTCCCTCAACTTCTTATTTTGTCAAAACAGAAAATCGTTGTATAAGCCACTAATCTCAAATTTTCTTTCATATTTGCCAAAACTTGGCTCCAGTTCGAAAATGCGCATTACCTGATGCTTCTAATCCCTGAAACTACAATCTAATCCACAATTCCCCGTGCTTCTCTACATTGCATCGAATTCGAATTCGTATGCTCCTTGAAATAATAATCTGGACTTTGTTGGTTCGTTCGAAAATGCTGTTATTTCGAGACACCAACAGCAAACAAAAAAAACGCCATAGATATCCGGTCGTTATTGCCGAAAGTTAAACGTTTTTTGCGATTTTGGTTATGGCTTCCATTTTTTATGATTTTTATGATTGTGATTCAAACATTTTGCTGTAAATGCACATTGTTGCTCATATGCTTTGATTTAACAGCAAATATTTTTTATATTCTTGTTGGTATGTTTCATAGATATTTTTTCTCTGCGTTTGAAATTAAGAAGTTTCATTATTTGAAAATTGAAATGCTGTATTTTTTTAATAAAGGTGCATTCTTGATAAATTCACCATTTATCACTATTCGAATAGTATTTGAAGGTGAATTCAAGCTTCTGTGAGGTTCTCGAATAATTTTATTATACATTATATTCTAATCTCACCCTTTCAAAAAATCCCGCTCAAATTCGTTTCAGTCACGAAATTTGATGATTTGAACTCTCCTGAATTCAATTATTTAAAATCAAACGCTCACGTTCAATTTTCTCGCTAGTTTTAAGAGATTTGAAAAAAAATTCTCTACTAGACCTAATTTACGTGACGAATTTAATTCTAGCCAACCGATTTGCATTAGAATAATATTGAACATGCCATCTTCTCAGACGGAAATTCGAATATTCATTTTCTTTGAATGTTTTTTTGAGATCATGGCGATATTTCCAGAAATTTTGAACCCACATTTTATCTTAAAATTTGTTTTATAGTCTCGCATGAACAAAAAATTGAAAATATTTTATTCCTCGCTTTGTGCAATTTTTATTTTCACAAGCACATGTCGTTTCGAGACCCAACGATGAATCTTTTTGCCGGACTCTCACCGTAGCTGGAAAATTATGATACTTTTTTTCTCTGTGGTGTCGATTTACAAAGATCACATTCACATGACGATTAATTAGAAAAATTGCTTAGCGTTTCATATATACACGAGGCACGCATTCTAATAGCTTTACGAGCTACGGTAATAAAGGTTTTCATTTCCTCTTTGAGAAATTTCTCAACGAGATTTTCGAATATTCGAAATGGTAGCACGAATATCAAATCGAAATGCGAAATCCTTAAAACTACAAATTAAGGAATAGAAAAGGCATTCACGTGATTCTAACATGGTCTTAAAACCGAATTGTTTTCAGTCTTATTAACGAATAAAAAAATTAACAATTGTCATCGAGCTGCCTTCCTAATCTGATAATTCTTAATATGTAGTTGGTTAGTCATGCGTCACATAGTTATAATCCAGTATTATTGATGCTTACCATTGATATTCTCATAAACCATTTCTATCAATATAATTTATGCTATTCTTCTTCGTAGATTTTGGGAAGATTTATGAATGAAATCGTTAAAATTCTTTATCGTCACCGTCTAACGGCCAATACTTGTGAATAGATTTACGAGAATACGTCTACGCAACATCTGAAAATTATTTTTTTGAACTGTTCATTTTTCTTTTCTAACATTAGCATGTCCATCCATTTTTTAAAACTCTTTCAACCAAAAATATTATCGAAATGAGCTTTAGAATTTCATTCAAGATCACCATGCTCTTAAATTTACAGATGTCGCCAGTTATACATTAATATTAATAATAAATGTATGTATATCCCCCGCATCTTCTAGAAATTTCTTGCAGATTGATCTTTCGACAAAAAGATCATGACTACAACCAATGCGTAGTGGGAAAAAAAAATAACCTATCGTTTTATTCTATCTTTCTTCTATTAGTGATGTGAGAAAATAACACGCGTGAGCGTTTTAAGAATTTTAATTGAAAATTTTCATGAATATTCCTATAACATATTAAATATTTAAAAACGATTCCCAAGAGTTCAAAAGAGCAAAATCGATAATTATAGTAACCGAACATGAAAAAAAGCAAGTGTAAAATCAAATTTGCAAAGTTCGCCATTGTCTAAATTTCCTCATTTCAATTCTTCGAATTTTGGCTGGAATGAGAAAAGCAAAAAACATATTCAAACTAGACACTTGAGAATTTTCCCTAGTGTGTCGTAACTATTTTTACACCTTTTGCATATGTTGGATGCCGGCAACAAATTGCAAAGTTTATAAGTTATGCAGCATGTTTATTTATTTGTTTGAAAATATTGGCAATAGTTTCAAGCAATTTCTTTTTCAGTTTTTAAAGGACAATTTCAAAAAAAAATGTTTTTTGAAATTTCCGACAAATAATAGTAATTTCCGGTTGGATTTTGATAAATCGTGGGTTTTCCGTTGACGTCAACTAGGCGTTCAGTTTTCAACGCCGCATCATTTGTCTGAAGCCAATAACAACAGCTAGTGCAAAGTATGGCATAATTGATATACATTGACGTGGTTCCACCTCCCAAAAGGGTTATGATTTTCCAATTTTCAATATTAATCTAACTCTAAAATGACCAGAATTTCATTGAATGATCTTTCAAATTTGTAATATCCATCTCTTCCTGGATTTTCAAAGTCTTAAAAATCAAATTTGTCGGCGATAAAAGCCGATTAAAAAAATGTTTCATGATATTTATTTTATGTGAAAAAAAGGTTTTTGAATAATTCCTTCCAGTAATCCTCTTCGGGCCTTCTTAAACATTGATGACTTTCTCCAAACACTTTGCTCCGTTAATTTAATTAACCTCGCTTCTTCATGCCGTTGTTAAATGAGCGTCATATTTCGAAAAACATTCCCCCTTTTAACTTTTATTATGTCATTACTGACATTATTATGTTCCAGATGTCAACGCAGTGTAAGGAGCTCCCAAACTCCGCGGCACTTTTAATCGACGGACCCATATCAACCGTCGTCATTTTTCTAGGCATATGTGGCAATATCTATTCACTGAAGCAGCTTTTCTCAAGAACTATTAACACTGCAATGCTCGTTTCCTTAACGGGTCTCGCATTTTGGGATATGGTAATTCTTTCACAATTTCATTTATTTCTTTGCAAGTTTCTTTTTCCAGCTTCTATTATTATCGGCATTCTTTCAACATGCCTTATGGGCGACATTGAACTACTTCTCAATCATTGATGAGCCTTGGGATTCATGTTTTGTCGCGCTTAATAGCCTTGTTAGTTTCGGACATATCACTTCGGTGGGTATTCAAAATGAACTCAATGAGCAACGTCATATTATTTTGCAGACATATATGCTGATTGAAGTCACTGCGGAAAGATTTTTCGCAGTGGCCCGACCATTTCATTTCGCTGGTGTTAATAGAAAAAATCGAAGGAAAGGATATGCGCGAATTCTTGGAGGTCAGAAAAGAATTGTAGAGCATTCACCGAATCGCTTGTTTCCAGAATTCATCAAAATGCCCCTATTGGTCACTGTATTGGCGTGCATTATCACATTTCCTAGTTCGTTCGAATATGAGCTTGAGCCTTGCATTTACAAATCTGAACAATTTATGCAGGTATCCCCCACAAATTTCACATTGAAAATGAAAATCTTGATGGAATTTATTTTTTTCAGAAGCATGAAACGAGTTTAATGCGGAATGTCTATTACAAGTTTCTCTATCGCACAATTTTTCTCTCGATTAGCATGACATTCGGACCCTTTATCGTTATTACACTGCTAACAGTGTCGACGCTCAAAAGTATGCGGAAAAGTATGGAAGGTCGCGCTTCAATTCTCATCGCTCAAGGGCAAAATCATCTATTCCAAGCCGACAAGGACAAGACGAAAAGCTTGCAAGTCAGTTCTATTTTCGCATTGAATAATCGCATGATGTTTCCCTTTTAGGCAATATCTGTTCTACTTCTTGGCAAATTCCTACTCCTTCGTTGTTGGCCGACAGCGGTTGCAGTAGCTCAGGTTTGAAACATTAAATAACCCTAATTAGGCAAATTATTTCAGATGTTCGTTGGTGAAGATTTTCGACTACTCCCTCTCGACGTCTCACATTTCTTCTTTTTGCTCAACTCAGCGACAAACTCGTTCGTCTTTGTTGTTATTAAATCGGCATTTGAAACAAGACGGTAATATTTGGAATTGTGTTGATAAAGCAAATTACAAATTGCAGATTGAGACGAATTCGGGAACGCCATCGCCAACTCGTTGCTCAACATGCGAAACAAGTCCTCAGCATAGGAAAAACATTGGCCGGTGACAATCTACTTCTCGTTCATGAGGCCGAGTGCGAGAATAATTCAAGCGACGAGGAAATCCTCGAAATGAAACCACTGAATTCTAATCGAGTCTAACGGTTATATCGTTATGTGTACCCCCTTTCCCTTGTGATCTCTTCAATTGTCTGAATCTCAACTCTCTGGTCCTTTATTAATTTATTGATTAGGATTTATTTGTATTTTCTCACTTGTATATAAAAACTTAATAATGACATCATTTATTTGTTAAGAAATTTACGTGAAATGTAGTTCATTGGCAATGGCACTACTATTGTATGATTGTCGATCGCCGACACTTTCACAAGGCTTTGAAGGTATCTGAAACTCCCAAAAATGATCTTGTTTCCTTTTGCTCAATTTCCTGGAATACCTTAATTGAAGAGCTGTTGGAGAGCCCGCTAGCTCGTCAGCGGCTTGAAGAAGCGCACGTGAAGCCTTAAATAGAAATGAAAATGCGGTTTCTAAAAACCAAGAGGATTGGGTTACATTTAGTTCCCCTAAAGCCGTGACAACTTTTGCATCGCTCTCGCGCTGCGCTTCCGCTTCAGCAGCCATCACACGATACATTTCCCGCGGTAGGCGAATATTTTTGATCTCGACGCGTTCCACATGAATTCCCCAAAAGAATGTCGCTGAAAAAAAAAAGTTTTTTTTCTAGATTATCACATATCCATTCCGGTTTTAATTACTATCTTCCAGAATATATTTCACTTGAGTCGCGATTCCTTGCCGATCAAACATGATCTGTGCTAAATTTCGAGTGCCGAGCACATTCCGAAGTGTTGTTTGAGCAAGCTGTCTGGTTGAGAGATGAGCGTCATTGACACGTGTCAAACTGGCAATTGGGTCACTAAAAAGGCAAAAAACAATAAGTCTTTGAATTTCAGAATGCACCTTGTCCTGTAATATACAGCAGCGTCTACTCCAACCGTCACACTGTCCAAGGTAAGCATCTCTTGAGATGGCACATCATAGGATTTTATTCTGAACTACAATTTTGAGCTTCCAGCAAATCTATAAGCAATATACCTTAAATCTACTGTCTTATGGACGTCAACAAATGGTAGAACTAGGACCAGCCCGGGACCTTTGGGATTATTCTTCCAAACTCGCCCTAAACGAAACACCACCTAAAAACAAACAATTAATTAATTAAGCATCGTGTTAATTTGGATACCATTCTATCATATTCTTTGACAATTTTGACGCAAAATATTAAAGAAACGGGAAATGTCATGAACAACACAATCCATGACAATGTTAACGCGAACCATTCCGAATTCGTCAGAATGTAATACCTCGATTGTTTCCTTTCAATCATAATTATTGTTGAAACATCTGAATGTGATGAAAATGAGGAAATTGGCAAACATACACAAATGAAGTTGAAATGTTTGGTTGGCGGGAGGCGAAAAACAACAAACAAGTCAAAAATAGTTTTGTCAAGATGCTAACGAAGTGCGCCTAAGCCCATCAATTTTTCGAATTGCTACCCCTCCGGGCACGAATAACTAAGATGTTCCCAAATGAATGCATCGACGGGAAAAAAAATGGAGGGGGAGACATTTTGATTAACTAGTTAGTTGTTGCAAAACGTTAGCCAATTGGCTTGAGACAATCGGACATTCATCATTTGCACAAAATTGGATCCTGAGGAATTTCCGGTGGCCGTCTTGGTCCGACAATTGCGAAACCTCATTCTTTCTCTCTTTTCGCCGTTATCTTACGTTTCTTGGAACGCAACAAGAGAGAATAATAAGGTAAAGCGTTGCTCGAAATGAATTGTGAAATCGAGCCTTTGTTTCACACCATGGAAGCCTATAATTACACATGAAGTGCCGACTAAATGCTATGCGGCGTGGAAAAGTTGAGTTGACACCAAATTTGGGGGTATTATCGAGAAAACCTTTATTATCTAAAATAAATGAATCGAACATTTCGAAAACATGAGAAAGACACGCCGAGGTATCTAGGAACAAACTAGAATATTATAATTCTTCTGGGATTGATGATTCGGATCGCAGTGAGCGTGTCATTGAGCTTCCTGTCACTGTTCCTCTTACCGAATTATTCGGAGTATTTAAAGAACGACAATCCTGAAATATGGTTTAATAAAGCTTTTGCATTATTACCAGTCAGTACCTGTAATCTGACATCAATCTCGGCAATCAGGCGGCGAACCTCTGTTTTATGAACAACGGAGTTCTGAAAAATCAAAATTTCAGTTTTAAACAATTTCCCAGCATTTTACCAAATTTCTTGTGTACATATAAGGAACAACAAGGCCGCGTGGTTGGCCTCTTTGATTCTAGAAACAAAAAAAATTGAATCATCATATGACTAAGAAAAATAATATACCCTATTTGTGGCGACAAATGTCCATCGGCGTGTAGGATCGAAATCAATTGGCTGACGGTTTGGGCTCGCCGCCGGCGCTGATTTTGCCGAACCTGACATTCTCGAGCTGGAGGATGAGGTAGGGAATGGGGAGCTGAAAATTGCTTAATATCTAAATGCTTGAAAGACCTATTCTCACCTAGCTCGATTTGTAAGCGACGGCAATGACGGGGGCACAAGTGAAGACGAGGAGCAAAACGACGGCTCGGCCATTGCTACAACCGGTCGGCTCTCACATCTTGACGGCCCACAGATGGGACCATCAGGAATTAGCAGGAGATGTGCGTGAGCTATAGAAAAGGGGGCATTTGTGTTATGCTCATGTAATCAGAATCTCATACATTTTTCAGAAGTCACAGAATTCCGGAAATCCGTGACACAACTGTCGACATCACTCGGCTCATTGAACACTTCCTCACTATAAAAATCGGTTTGCGTCGATTTGTCTTTTCGTTGCAATTTTCGTTGCAATTCGGCGATGAGGTGTTGGCGTTCTCTTCGCCTCGAAAATGGCAACATCTGAAACACAATATTGTCTTTAAAAAATGATAATAAAACATTGGAATGAATAAATAGTAGCCATATATCATATATTTCTTTAGTTAGGCAAAATGTTCTGCAAGCTCGTATTCTTTGGTTTCATATTATTCGCGTACGCAATTCCACCTTAGCACGAAATTGAAACCATTTTGAAACAAATCGAAGACAAAATCAGAGACCAAAAAGCTGCAAATGTTATTTCAGAGGACTTTGACGTTTTTTACTGTAATCATACATTCAGAAGAGGTAGGCTTTTATCAGAGAAATTATTGAAAGATTTTTATTTTCAGATGAATTGGTTAACATTCTTTTGCCGCTCAATGATTTGAGCAAAATTGAATTCAATGTAAGTTGTATGCTAGAAAACTTCAATGATCAAATTGACACAAATGTTTAGATGCGCAAGCTGAAAATATCCGAAGGTCCCAATAACACGATACTTCTAAGCACCGATGTCAAATTGGTCTCAAAAACTCAGAAAGTCTCGCTTGTTCTGATGGAGAAGCCACATTCCGAAATTGGATATGTTTTAAAGCACATGCAATTCCCCAAATGTGTTGCTTGATTCTCGAGCGCTAATAAATAATTTTCAAACCTTCACAAAATTTTCGCTTGCTTTGTTGGCGGCAATTCTCGCGCTTTTTGCCTTCTCCAAACCATTCCCAATTCGCCCTTTTCGCTTTTTCCACGCCCTCCACATCTCCATCATTCCAATGGTTCCCGCTTTGAGTCTAGTACCATCCGGATCCGCATTATATTCTTCCATGAGGGTTAGCAAGAGTTCCTGTAGAAATAATGAGTTTTAAATGTTTGCTCCGCTCACACTACCTCAAAGAACTTTTCGAGCTTTAATTGAATCACATTAATGCACATTGATACTAAAGAGAGCCCGATTATAATCAATCCAAATATTATAAACATATCCTCGCTGTTTGTTGGAGTAACATCGCCTATAAGCAACGCCTCCAATATAAATCATACTGTATCCATGTATTACCGTATCCAATAGTAGTAAGAGAGCAGAAGAAAAAGTAGAAGCTTTTGAAGTAGTCCCAATCTTTCTCGAATCGAAGAAAAATTGCCGCGCAAAGGAACATCCAACTAAATGCCACACCAATCGCCAATGTCAGCGGCATTTCAGAAATTCGATCCTCTTCTGAAACCTTGACACGCTGCTTTCCTGATCCGACACAAAAATGCTCAGCTACCCTGCAATGATACTCCTTGCTTGTTGGGTACTTGACATTTTAAATCGATATTACCTGATCATAAAATCCCACATTCTTTCCAATCCCATTAAAAAGAGTCGTCCTGATTTATGGAGAATCATAAGAACTAGAGGGATGCCGATGACAGCGTAAACCATTGCAGCAAGTTTTCCTAGATCCGTTTTTGCCGTTATATTTCCATACCCGATTGTTGTATAAGTTGTTACTATAAGCAAGAGCCATCAAAAATGTTGTATGGGGTTCGAACTTGCCTGCTAAGAACATTGCATTCCAAAAGGTCCACACTGGTGTTAACACATGCCCAAGACCAACAGACATATTGTATTCTTCGACACTTGCATTGACCTTCAAAATTATTGTTCATGAGATTGTAAGATATGATTTATGCACCTTTAAACTATAATCAACCATTGTCCAACCATTAGCCGCGCCTTCTACACCAAGTTCCCAACATCGAAGACATAGTTGATCAGTGTAATTCTTCAGCGCTCGAATTCGTCCCAAATTGCTCTCGAAATGCCGCTTCCAAATGGGCTCGGGCTCACGTGGTCGCAACGCGACCACCTTATGCATTTCGTGCTCCGTCAAATAAAATGTAGATAGTGTGTACCAATAAACGCTCTGGAAATAATTATTTCAAGAAGAGTCAAATTTAAATCAAAATGGAGATCAAAATTGACCGTTCGAAGAAAAAAAAGATCAAATCAAAAATTACCTTGTGAAGTTTATTTAATGCATATTTCCGATAATCCCTATAATGTAAATTCAAGCGGTCGGTATCATTTCTGAAAATCCTTTAATCCACTTTAAATTTTTGTTCATCTAGCTTCCTTACCTATAAGCGCGATTAAAATCAACAAGTCGTGTATGAATATAAAGAATATCTTCAAGAAGATCGTTTGTCAGCGAACCAATGAAATTCCGCTAAATCAATTGACATTAATTAACTCCATATTCTTAAACTACAATACCTTCTCGGCTAATATAACTTCTTCGTGTGGTTTTTCAATCGACCAGAAAATTAATCCTCCAATTACCGAATAAGCAATTAAAAGAATAATTGGAATAAGATTATGAACTCTTGACTTGTCGTAAATTATCTGATATATTATTATTTTTTATTTGCTTATTGATTTATTCGATTTCAAAAAATTTTTTACCTGAATAATAGCAGCGAACCGCTGAAATTTGGAGACTGTTGACGCATTATCATTATCGAATCGGCGCCTTTTTCGAAACGCGTTGCTCCAAATGCTTTCATGAAGAAGGAGATGCTAAATGAAATTTTTTTTTGGTTTTTGACAATTGAAATTTTGTTGGCGTTTTTTTAAATGTTTAAAAACGGTGAGAGCGGCATAGTATTAATTTTTATAAACGTTCAGTTCTCGATAAAGAAACTATTGAAATTTTTTGATATTTTGAGGAATTTGGCGCCGTCTTTTTTAGGAAATAAAAAAGTGACTAAGAGAGCCACCAATTTAACTGAATTGTTGGGAATTGCCTGTTCTTGAAAAAAGAAGTGGCTACCAGACACCATAAGACCCAGCCAGCTCAATTTTTTATTATTATTTAAATTATTGAAATTTGAATTGAGTGTACAATTGTAATGAAAATTTCTTGATATTATTTTTAAAAAAATTTAAGATTGGACAAAAAATGCGAAATTAGTTATTTCAAAAAAAAATTAGGGATTTCTTGAATTTCGAAATTAATTCTTGAAATGGAAGCCGATGCCACTTTTTTTTTCAAAAACCAACCATTTTAAATTCCATTTAGTATTCGATTACAATACTTCTGAAAATTACAGTATACCTGCATGGCATTCTCGTCGACAATTGTGTCACGTCGCCGAACAAAATTGTAGCCATGACCGGCGTTCATATTTTCGTTGTGATCGTCACCGCTCTCGCTCAGTTCGACATCATCGACAGCCGGCTCATTCGCAATATCATTCGCATTGTCCAACGAAAACGATACCTGCTTCTTTCCCGGCGTTGTACCTGTTTTACGATGAACCGTCGGATAGTACATGGATAATCAAAGTGGTGACCGTCAGTGGTCGACAGCGAAATAGGTAAGCGGTAGCCGGTTTTGAAAATGCATGACGCCGACAGAGCCGCCGGCGACAAACAAGATAAATGTGTGTAGATTTGTTATGAACTGCCACAAGGAATTCGAAGGACAAAAAAAAGAAAGAAAAAATAATAATTTTTCGGCGAGACATTCGTTTGCTTTTTTCCCCGCTTTCAATGAATCTTTAAAACTATTTTTATTCATCACACTATTCAATTTTCCTCATTAATCTCAGAAATCGCGAATCTCAAGATCTTTCATTTTTCGTAGTCTTGAAAGAAACCAGAAAACGCCATCTTGGGTGTTTTCCAAACATTTTGGTTGAAAAGTTTAGATGGGAGGAAGCGACTAAGACAATTATTCCGTATTAACCTTCTGTTTTATTTAGGCATGTTAAGCATCTGACTAAAAATTCGTACTATAAAACAACCCACAAGATAAATTTATTGTTCAAACTGCATCAAAGAGTTAAATTTTTATTAAGCTGATAAATATTTCTCAAATTCGTGTCCGATCAATGTTGATTTAATTCTTATTGTTATTTCTGAGGCGTTGGCTCACTGTATCATTCTAGAACACCTTTCTTACCTTCATTATCATCATCAATCATTTCCAATATCACTGTAAACTAGATAGAAAAAAATATATATATATATATGATGGTCGAATCTGGAGCTGATTTAAAATGTCTACTGAGAGTTTTCGAAAACTACCATCACCGAAAAGGTGCGGCCTTCCGGGTGGCCACTATTAAACTCAAACCCTATAATTGACTTCCAATCGAATAAATTGAAAAAAAATAACGTTGAAAAAGAAAAATAATAATGTGAATCGTAGCGACGAAAAATGCCTTCGGTTTCATATTCATCTTCATCGCCGATTGGCTGGGCTCAATTTTGATAATTGAATTAGTCACTGAATCGGCCCGACACTTGTTCAACATTGTCACAAGGAATAAATACGCGCCTATACAAATATTTTCATTTATACATGAATCGGATAGCCATTACCAAATGACTCTTCAGGGGGAAGAGGCGTGTGTTTTTTTCAATTTCATGAAATGCTGGACACCATCAGTTAATTTTTTTTGTAGCGATTCAAATGCACTTTCATCAAATGAAATGAAGTGCACGGCTCGAGATGATGGTGATGAGGTGGAGGCAAAACGAGCGTATCAAATTTCGGCGTGTGTGGCCCCCCCCTCTGAGCCTTTCGAAGAATGTATTCCGAATCGAATTTGCACTCAAGTTTTTGTTTCATTTCTTGGTTTTTGCTATTTTTTTTTCAACGCGTGTTAGTGGAAACAAAATAATAATTGAAAGCAAAAAAAAATTACATAATTAAAAATTATGCTGATTGCCTTCTTCTAGATGAATTTTCTACGAAATAAGTTTTGTGAATAAAATAAATATCTAGTATTACTTCGAGCAACATTGGAGTAACTAACAAGAAATTCAGTAGCATTCAATATAATATTTCAAAAATTTTGATGAAGTGAAAGAATGTCAGTAATTCTCTTTTTCGTCTAAACTCACATCTAACATTTATTTTGGAGAAACATCTATTTATTTCTAACTATTTGTTGCTATTTATGTTAACGAGTAGATCTTAAAGTATATGAGTCGGCTGCTTCAGAGATGTGGGTCTCAAAAACAGAATCTCAGCTGGTTTATACACCGGTCATTTTCAAATAAGAAAGTTTAATATAAGGTTTTATAAATTTTATTTCATCAGACATGGTTACCTATGACTTGCGGTGGTGCAGTATCATTTTTGCATAACGGACATAGTACAGAACCCGAGAGTCTTTTTCCTTACCTTAATAATGGGAAAATACTATCAAAAATATTTGTTTTGTGTACTTGTTTTGTGTTTTCTGTTTCACAGCAAACCTTAAATTTGAATAATTGAACATTTGTTTCAAATATTAAGGTACATATAAGACCATTTATTTATGTACCAAAAATTTTACTTATGTACCAAAAAATATTACGGTACATATAAGACCATTTACTTATGTACCAAAAATATTTTTTAAGGAATACGATTTTTTAAGCGTTGACTTGATTTGGTATTGTTTAGTGATAATCACGGGCAGGTTGAAACACAGTATTTCAATTTTTTATTATTTCATGGTGTTGCGAAGGCAGTGACGCTCATGCAATTTTAAGTTTGTTTTTTTTCAACATCTTCATGGTACCATAATGGTGAAGCAAATGACATATTTTCTCAAGCAAGTTTCAGATGTTATGGACATAAATCCATTATATACTACCAGAGTGTGTCATCTTAAGCTTCTAGAATTGTCTGTTTCAGATTTTCCCGATTTCTTTACAAGACCCATACTAGCAATTTCATCCATCTTCAAACAAATCGAATTTCCAACATTTTCCCAAAAATTTCATTCACTCTTAAATGCCCAATGCAATTGAAGAAACTGGACATCAGGGAATCACACGCAGTAGGAAAAAAAATGTAACTTAATTAAATGTGGCAAAACACTTGACGCGAAAACGACGCCAAACTGAATAGTAGGTCTCGTTGAATGGAGAGTTGTTGGCACATCAACATAATCAGGTTTCTTGGAAATTCCGCGCTGATTCGTGTTGTGGGAATGCGTATTCCGTGATTGTTGCCACTCCTTTTCTTTTTGTTCTTCTGCTTCGCCAATTTTCGCCAGAATTCTTGGTGCACGTTTCGCGTTTCACTTGTGGCCAAAATCCCCAAGGTGTATCAACGCCTTGAGCCATGCGCTTAATTTTTTTCTGTTTCTTCTAGGATACTAACAATTTTTGACACATTGGGTGTAATATTGTTGAAATTTGAGATGAGATATCTTTTCTATCTTTAAGAAAGTAATGCGTGTGCAAAAATGTTTGCGCCAGATGAAATTTCAATTCCTTTCAGTTGAGACCATCACGCCCAAAACCAAAAGTTGAAAATATAGCATGAATAATGCTGATTTTCAGAATCTCGAATAAATGCAAATTCGTCACCACGGGTTTTATGCCTCTTAAAAATTGATCGTGACCCCCCCCCCTAACAGAAACCAATTTCATCACTAATTGCCTTCATTCTTCCATTCTTTGCTCTCAACTCGCCAAATGTTTTGCAACATGGTGTCAATGCGGCACCAAATACGCTTCACCACTTTTCGCCATTTTCCAGAACATAAAAATGTGTGCGAACTGCGCGTGGAGGGTCGCGGAGAGCACGCCAACAATGAAACGTTGAAAAGTGTGTCCCATTGGGACACTTTTTGGTTTTGGTTTGTCGAATTTCACCGATCTCATCCATTCTAGTCGGTTTCCAAGATATATCGCGTACGAAAGCGCATGAAGAAAAAAAACACAAGCATACACGCCAGCACAAAGACTTTATTCAACATCCCTTGAGCAATATGCCTCGTCTCGTCCCATTTTCTGTTCAAGCCAACGCAAATTATAGCACTGGTGACATTGTGCATCAGCTAATTTGTTTACCCTCCAAACAACCACTTCCGAGTTAATTACTGTCAACTGACGAGCTCAATAATCAGTCATGAGTTTTACGAAAAAATTTTTTGGACCACATTTTCAGCCAAAAATTTGCGTTTTTATTTTTCAAGTGCCCCCCCCCCACCCCTCACACATACTTATTATCAAGATTTTCTTCATCTTTCCATCTCAATAAATAAACAACACAGTATTGGTCTTCTTAACTATTCCGAATCTCCGCCCCAGTGCCCCATTTGAGCGGTCTTTCCGGCCCAATGTTTCGTCCTTATTCTCTTCTTTTCATTCTTGTTCCCCCAACCCCGCAACTTTTCGTTTCAAATAGGACCCATCAATGCGTACTTGGCAAATGTTACCATTGATATTTTCTCTTCGCAGTTTTTCACTCGTCGAAGAATAAGAAGAGGAAAGGGGGGGGAGGGGATGTGATATTCTCTTGAGAATAATAAATCAGAAGTAAAAAAATAAAATGAAGTGTGTGAGACGTCTGGATAATATCATATTTTTAGAGCATAGATGGTACGTGTGCAGTGGCCGATTTTGAATTATTTCTGAAAATAAGAATTGATTTCCAGATTTCTAGATAACGACATTTTTTAAATTGAGCTCTATTTATCCGTAAAATTTAAAGCAGCTTTATAAAATTGCTCTTTTAAAATTTCAGACAACAATTCTACTTTTTCCTTTATTCTACTTCTTTATTTAAATATGAATGTTTCTATATTTGAGAATTCAAAAATATATATATATATACTTATTCATATATTATTTAACTATCTTTATACTATATCATATGCGTTATTAATTATTAAAGAACCGGAAACTATGCCACTTCAATGTCAATTTCAAATGTCAACTTCAAATTAAACATACTTGAATATTGAGTCTTTCCTTGAAGTTCATCCAAATGCCGAAACTCTTCTCTTTTACCCCTTTTCAATTTGGTCTGTAATTTTTTATGAGCTCCACAAACCGAGCGGAGCCCAACAATTTCTCACACAAGTTTCTCTGTGTGTATGCTCGCGCGTGTACTCGTGGAAAAAAAGAAAAACTGCTGAGTAATGCGATATTTGATGCGTTTATTGCTTTTTTTCAATGTGATAAATGCATCCTGTAAGATCCGCTGTCTTTTGGTGGTGAGAAATTCCAAACAAGTCATGCGTCTAAAGGTGGAAGCTCTTTGCAACCCACAATTATTCAATGTTCCTTTAAATTCCATGAATTCTTTATGATTAAACCCTCTGGTCTATTAGAACAAATCCGAAACAAAAAGAAATGTTGTTGGAATTTGTTTCTCTCTTCAATTCAACTGGCATAAGAGATACACGATTAATGAAGTTTTTATGCTGCAGCGATTTCGCTTCAAGTAACTCCCACAAATAGTGCATCCTTATATGGACCTGGACTCATCCTTTCAGCAAAGGATGGATATAATTAGGTTACTTAAAATTGGCTTTTGGCAATTATTTGAGCTGACGTGTATACTTATGCACACATAAATTGCACCACTTTCTTCATTATTATTCAGAACGCGGTTTTTTTGTTCGTTGCCATACTTCTCACATTTATAGTCGCCTCATTCTTCTGTCAGTTTTCGAGCAATTCACGTTTTTTTTGCTTTCGCCTGCAAATTGTTCGTTTAGGCCATTATCCCTCTGAATTATTGCTTTCGTTTCACCTTTTCGCATTTCGAACATTATTTTTTGGTTGGAAATTTAATTTTTTGGGTTTTAGAAAATGCCGGGTACCCTGCAACCAAGAAAAACCACTAGAGGACGTGCTGCTCCAGCTCGATATATGGAAAGTATGGACAATTGCAATTTGTTGAATTATTGCCAATTTCCTGAGCACCAGACGATGCTGATTTTCCCAGAAGATACCCAAAATGACAAACAGTAAAACGAACAAAATGAGTTGTAGAAGAGATGCTTAGCTGCTTTTTATGATAAAAAATTTTTTTCGAACCCTCTAAGTATATATATATGATAATATGTTTTTCTCAGCTTTTTCATTATTTTCATGAGAATCAGAAAAATAAGAAGTAAAGAAAATTTCAGATGACTGCTTATTTGAAATTCAAGAATTATCAAATTACTGCAGACAAAATTATTATAGTTTCCCATTAATGATATAACATTGAAAAATATGGTTGCAAAAATTTTTTGTTTCATTAAACTTTAAAAAAAAAAGTCCACAAATATTAGACACACCAATTACCTCACTTCATTTTCAATAATCGAAACATTTGAATTTCAGTGTCTCAAAAAGTTGACTTTACAACGTGCGGATGGCTACTAACCATTTTCTCCTACGTTTTGGCTCTTCTAACTCTCCCGTTATCAATATTTCTATGCGTCAAAGTTGCTCAAGAATATGAAAGAGCTGTCATTTTTCGACTAGGACGCGTAAAACCTGGCGGAGCGCGCGGGCCTGGTAAAAAATTCAAGCCGTACACTTATCAGAACCTTATCGAATTCAGGATTGTTTTTTGTTGTACCTTGCATTGATTCGTATAAAAAGATCGATTTGCGAACATTATCTTTCGAAGTTCCTCCTCAAGAAGTAAGACAGCTGCGCACTGTCAGATTTTTATATTAACCTTTACAGCTGCTGTCAAAAGATGCTGTAACCGTCGCTGTCGACGCTGTCGTCTACTTCCGAATCTCAAATGCAACAATATCTGTAATTAATATTGAGGATGCTGCAAGATCGACCAAATTATTGGCACAAACGACATTAAGAAATATTTTGGGAACCAAGACACTTACTGAAATGCTTTCAGATCGTGATGTGATTTCTCTTCAAATGCAGGTAACCCATATTTGATAATGAGATGGAATAGCAGTCTTTTCGACGTTTGCTTTTCGCAATGGCCTCTGATTCAATTTTCAAGAGAAAAAATATTGACATTTATTTTCTGATCAAAATTTAACATTATTGAAATGGGAAATAGAATGCTCAGTAACAAATCAATCCAAACAAGACCATTGGGAAAGACCCACGTTAATTCTAACAAATTTAACATAATTAAAGAATACTTGAAAATATCATTTTTAAGCTCTTTTGTTTTAAATCAATAGCATTTTTTCCCTGGATTCTTTTTTTTTCGATTTCTTCTAAACGCTCAATTTTGGCATCACCCCCCGTGCACATCCATTATTCGGTTTTTTTTCTAGGCAACCCTTGATGAGACCACTATTCCGTGGGGCGTCAAAGTGGAGCGTGTCGAGATGAAGGATGTCCGCCTTCCGTACCAATTGCAGCGAGCGATGGCTGCTGAAGCAGAGGCGACACGAGACGCTTGCGCCAAGGTGAATAATAAACCATATGACGTGTTGGCCAATTTATACGACATATAATTAAAGGTCATCATGGCCGAAGGTGAGCAAAAGGCGTCAAGAGTGCTCGCCGAAGCCGCCGACGTGATTTCCACATCGCCATGCGCCATTCAGCTACGCTATCTTCAAACTCTTAACAGTATTAGGTATCTAAATGAGAAAATATGTGAGATTAATGAATAATTACTTAGTTCGGAGAAAAACAACACAATTGTATTCCCATTCCCAATGGAAATGATGAGCAAATTTATTCAACAGTACAAACAGCCAATTATTAAACGGTACAACCCCCCCCATATTTATGTGTAAGAAAAAAGAAAGCGAAATTGTTGTTTTTCAGGTTAAAACATCTGCACAGCTAGAATCGAGCACCGTTTAAGTTATTTGGACACCTTAAAATTGTATATGTAATAAACAAATCTCACATATTGAATATATTGAGCGTGTACGTTTTCCAAGAAAATGTGCCCGCCGAATTATCTTGTAACGCTTCAATGAGCTGCGGCCCTCCAGGATTCAAGTTCACGTCGTGTGGTTTTAGCGGTTTGGCCGCCTCGTTTCGAAGCGTCCATAATAAGAGTCAAATTTCAGTGTTGTGTCATCGAGACCCCCCCCCCCACTCGTATTTTTGCACATGTTTGAAACATTTGAAAGGAATGCAGCCTTCAGCCAACCCAATTTTTCTTGATAATATCTTAATGATGCGTTCGCCGTCTTTTCCCATCTCAATTCCTTCAATAACACATATATTGGCGGCCCATTCTTCTTCCTGTCGCACACCACCGAGAGTGAGAGCAATTTGTTACACAATTCTATTTTTTCCCCCTACTCAATCGTGCTGGAGTGCGTGAAGGCGAATCCCTCCATTCCATCAAATCTTATGAACTTTATATAAATTAATATGAACAACAACGATGTGACCCTCGTTTCTTCTCCCCACATTTTGCTCGCTATTATTCATCTTGCTTAATCCCTTTTTTGACACATTTTCCAGGCTTCTCTTTTGTTGACATATGACCCGCGGTTCGTTCGAGCTTTCCATAGCACTAAAGCTTGTTGGTTAATAAGAAGTGATAAGCCTTCAAACTAGAGATAGATGGGATTAAAGATTATCCTTATTTATGTTTTTAAGCATTCTCACTACAGATTTGCATTAATTTTTTTCCTAGGAAAATTAAATGTGACATTTTTCAAATGTTTTTCTGAGAGCATAGAATACGACAACGGGTTTAGAGAAAATCGTTAATACTTTCAATTCCTCTCCGGTTTTTATATTTTTGGTTGGTAGAAAATCATTCCAATTTTATTCCCCCCCGCCCCCTCCCAACCAACAAATTACGTTTTCCTTGATTCCCGAACAAAAGGGAATCCTAGTTCGCAATTTTTTTGCGAAAATTTCATCCCCCTAAAAAAAGACACATTTCCATCTCGCAGTATATAGCTGGTTTTTGATAAAAGTCACCAGCCCTCTTCACACGCAATCCTACCACGATTGTCTTTTTCAACATTTTTTTTAATGTGTCTCGAATATTGCGCATATTTTTGTTGCATCGCCTTTTTTTTCCTTGTTGTTGCCTCAGCATCAAAACGCACAAAGCGAATATTCAATTGCATTTTTTTTCTGTATGTTGCGTCCGCGCGCACTTTCATTTTATTTTTTTTTGAGCTTCCTTCAGCTCTCTAGTTTTTTCGGCGTTGCTCAAACCAGTTGAGGCTGTCAGTTTTGTGGACAATTGTCAAGAAGAATTGACAAGATCGACGTTTCCTGTTCTCGTCAATGCTTTTAATATGCGAAGATATTCGTTATATCTATAGTTAGCGATGTTTGATACACATTTTTTCGCAATTACATTGGTAATTACGCGTAATTTCTGATCTCTGGTCGGCACACAAATGGCACCTACTTAAGAAGGACTAGAAGCGTAATGCTGTCCGCGAAATCTATTTTCAGCATTGTTCAAGATGTTTAATTGCACATTTTTAATCTTTGAAAGCAATCTTCCGATGCTTCTTGATTCGGCAATTTGGCTCCCAATAATTATGGTATGGAGAGTTCATTGGTTTTCAGAATGGATATGCCAAGACTTCAAACTAAAGAATTCGTATATGCTTCTCCATCACATCCGAATATAAAAAATGCGGACAGCCTGATTGAGCAAGAATTTGGCGCATATTTATATGGAGAAGACCTAGAATGTTGAAAATAGTTTTTTGAAATTGTTTATATCCTTGCCGCGTGCCCGGAAAAATCTCCTTCCCCCTACCCCACCCGTCGTAGTTCTAATTGCCCAATGAGGCCTGGACAACACCACTCCTGTCCATAATGTTTTCACCCTTTACAAATGCCATTTTCAGAACATGATAATTAAGGTCCTTTTTATAATAGTGCCTTCCCTTCCCCCCCACCCATCTCATTTCTTCCCCTTTTCTCTTTTTTAGCGTGTCTGTCTGCCTTACAACAAGCCTATTTAAAATTCTATTCAGCTAATCAAAAAAATGGAATTTTTATGGCCGGAATAATAAAAAATGTGTATATTGAAGTGCATTTATCTTCTTTCCTGAACAGAAATTTCTTGTTCCTTTCTTTTTTGGCTCATTCCCATAAATGGGTAATTGCTTCCCATCGAGACAAAAATCAGCCTTCTGTTCTCATCGCACAAAAAAATTGCTGTCTATTATATTACAAATCTGATTTCATTTTTCTCAGTCAAAATAATTTTCATGGGGTGTGGGGGGAAAGGCATCGAACCAGCCACGATTTCCTTCCAGTTTCGTCTTCCTTCTGTCCATCATCATTAATTTCTTCCCTTTGTACATTCAATCGAATCGCGGAGCCGCGAAAAAAAAAAACGATGAAGCTGGAGAAGAAGGAGTAAGAGAAGTGGAATGGGAAGAGAGATGGCTACACCTTTTTTGCGAATGAATTGCTGAATCACGACGAGAAAAAAAAACTTTATTCAATTGGTTGGCTCTCTGCACTTTTATTGAATTTTTTATTGTTGAATTGCGTCAGAGGAGACATTTTTCATAATAGACATTTCAAAAATAGAATTCTGATACACACAGTCATTTGGATACCATAACATTGCTATAAGTCCCTAAATATTAGTATTACTATAAATTTTATAGTATTCTAATGCTCATCTCTCATTAATTATTAATACTAGGAAGATGTTTAGCGTCTTGTTGTTCGTTCTCAACACAAGATATATGCGATTGTCAAGAAACCCTTGTTGAAATCACATTCCTGTAAAGATTTATGGTCGAGGATTATGCAGAAAAACGTTTTTTCAAGCTTTTTCCAGAGATTTGTGGCTGTAGAGCCGGATTTATTGGGCAGATGGCTTAAAGGATGATTGGATGTCAAAATAAACTGTGGTTTTTGAGATTTCAATGGGCGTGAACTGATTCTAATAAAACGTTTAAGCCCAATAGTCCGTCAGATGAGACATGTTATAATTCAGTGTATTTAAGAGCAAGAGTTATTCTGAAATAATTTTTTGTTATAATATACAACACCCTTATAACTGTACTGACTTACACGATTTTTTTCAAACAACATTTTCAATTCCTACGAAGCTTCACATTTGTTTTAAAGTGCAACTACGCAAATCGGTTTTGCAGCTTGAGAAAATTTTTTTGAATATCTGTCGTCACTCCATCAAAAGCCTTCTTCCTCTGGCCGGAAATCATGCATATTATGAAATGTTTTATACTATGTATAATCCCGTCATTGACATATATGTATTTGACTCATTGTTATTTTCAAGAAAAAAAGACGATGGGGATATTATATGATAAATAGCGCGTTTTTTCTTTTTGTGGTGTTTCTCGCATCGCAATGCGACGTATTAATTGAAAAATTCTCATTATCCTTGTGCCACACAAAATATATGAAATTTCAAAACAGCCACATAAATTCGACCGAACGAGACTGGCGATTCTCTTAAAATTAGCTTCTTCTTCTTTTACAGCTGTCTGAAATTGATGATAATTTTACACACACACATGCACAAATAAAAATAAAGCGCATTTGAGGCGTACCATGGCGCCCTTGAGCCGGCACCTAATTATATTCTGGGAGTGGCGAGGGACTTGTGGAGGGGGGGGGGGGGTGCACATCTTGACACGCAAATTAGTTATGTCGAACATTTTGTGGCGCGCTTTTGTGTGCTTAATTAAATTTCGACACGATGGAGTCACCTCATTTGTCAAGATTTCTCTTCTCATCTCGCTTCTTGGGAACCAATTCGGTTCCAAAAGCTTTAATGAATCGAGAACAAACTAGAAGCATCCTGAACCGTTGCTCTTCGGCAAATTACTTTTCAATGCCATTCAACATCTATTATTTATCATCTGTCAACTGCCCACCAATAAAAAGCGAGGAGGGGTATCTTCTCCGGCGAGTGAAAGTAATTACATACTACTTCCATCAAAAAAACCATTCTCCTCCCGCCCTCGTTTATATGCATTCTCGCTTCACATATGCTTTATGAAACACACAGTTTTAGGTGGGCTTTTTGTCGTATGATATGGCTGAAATTCTATTGAAATTGCAAATATGATGCGTCAAGGGACTGTGAGAACGCCGCTGACAAGAATAATTGATCGTAAGCTTCACCATATGCATTCGGTTTTCTCATCAATTAATTGCAGCTCATAAAAAAGTGCACTACACAACTTGTGGATGGATTATAACGATTCTCAGCTATATATTGGTTGCGGTAACTCTACCGCTATCCGCATTTTTCTGCTTAAAGGTTTTCATTCGGCTTAATCAATTATACGCATAATTAATTGGGGGTTCAGGTTGTTCAAGAGTATGAGCGAGCAGTGATATTCCGATTGGGACGACTGAAGCATGGTGGCGCTCGAGGTCCTGGCATATTCTTCATTATTCCTTGCATCGATTCTTTCAAGAAAATTGATTTGCGAGTAGTGTCCTTTGATGTACCACCGCAAGAAGTATGTATTCTCAAATTGAGTCGGAACATTTGTTTGGATAACAGGGTCTATGTTATTATTAATAGGCTAGCAGTCAGAAAAAAAAATTAAGCTTATTTTATTGGAATTTCAAATAAAAAATAAATATTGCACCAATCAAAAAAGTCAAAGGAAAAGGTTTTTCACATATGTACATATTTAAAATTTTCAAATTTTCAATTTAAAATTATAAAGTTTTCAAAAACTAATTTTAACAAAATATATGAATGCAATATATGAACGCTTTCAATTATTTCCTAAATATTATATATTAATTTCAGATTCTTTCAAAAGACTCTGTTACTGTTTCGGTTGATGCTGTCGTCTATTTCCGTATCTCCAATGCGACCGTCTCAGTAAGTATTTTCCCCTCTATTCCCCTCACTCTCGACACAGCTAGTCTGTCTATTGTGTCCAGCCCTAGGCGCACATGTGCTTCCGTGGCGCAATAGGCAGCGCGTTCGGCTGTTAACCGAAAGGTTGGTGGTTCGAGCCCACCCGGGAGCGAAAACTTTTTGCACACTTTTTGATTTGCAGGTTATCAATGTTGAAGATGCATCAAGGTCAACAAAATTACTCGCGCAGACGACACTGCGGAACTTCTTAGGAACAAGGACATTAGCGGAAATGCTATCATCTCGCGATGCCATTTCGATGCAAATGCAGAATGCGTTGGATGAGGCCACCGATCCTTGGGGTGTGAAGGTTTTTTTAATTGAAAAACAAAAATGTTGATTTAATGAGGAAGTTTCAGGTGGAACGTGTTGAAATCAAAGATGTTCGACTACCCGTGCAGCTACAAAGAGCAATGGCGGCCGAAGCCGAAGCAGCGCGAGCAGCGGGAGCCAAAGTTTAAACCAGACCAATTATAAATTTAATATACGATTGTTAAGATAATTGCCGCCGAGGGAGAGCAGAAAGCGTCACGAGCGTTAGCAGATGCGGCAGATGTGGCAAGTTGTTTAAGTCTTGAATTTATGCATTCTGGATAAAATGCAATGAAAAGGGAATTGCAATGGAAGCGAAATTTTATGAAAGATTTTGAGAAGAAAAAATAAGAGACCTGCTTCTATACCACAGATTTTCGATCTCAGGAAATGTTATTTCTTGATATTCAGATCGCTACATCACCCTGCGCCATTCAACTGAGATACCTTCAAACTTTAAACAGTATAAGGTATATTGCACAATCTGAAACGCTAAAAAGCTTGATTTGTTCAATTTTCAGCGCCGAGAAAAATAACACGATAATCTTCCCATTCCCAACAGAGCTTATAACCAAATTTGTCAAATCAGCGATGGGATGACAACTACATTTTCCAACAGTATCAATTCAAATTGTTTTTCGAATTTTCTCCGTATTTGTCATGACTCATCTTTTCATCTAGCTTCTGATTTCATCAAAAGAAAAAAAACTGTCCGTCAAACTCCTTCCCATCATTTCATACGCGGTTTGTTCATTGTTTCTTTTTTTTGTATCTCACGATCTACTATTGAGCGAATTTTATCATAAATTGATTTGAACTTGGTGTAACAAAAATTTGCGCGTGAGTGTGAATTGGACGTTAACAAAAAAACTTTTCGATGGCGATGACGCTGGTGAAAGAAGATAGAGAGAGAGAGAGACGTTTGATAAGGTGAAGGGGGCTGGTCGAAATTTTTGGATATAAATTGTGAACCGAAAATCGGAAATCATCATGAACATTCAGTTCACTTCTTTTTTAAGCCCCTTTCAGCGATAATTTTTCAAGTTTTCTAGGATGAAACTCCTCATCGCTGTTGGAATTGCAGCCCTTATTGGGGCAACCATAGCGTAAGTGTGAATTCTCTGAAACGCTTATGACACCATCCACTTCTTTTTTTCAGTGGAGGCTATGGAGCCGGAGCTTATGGAAACGGAGGATTCGGAGGAGGAGGTTATGGCGGTGGAGGCGGCTATGGAGGACCTCGCGGATTCGGAGGCGGATCGTATGGAGGAATCGGATATGGAGGTTTGCTTCAATAGCCTAATTATTTTTTATTACCATGATTCTAGGTGGAAACTCTTATGGAGGAGGCGGCTATCACGGTGGTGGCGAAATTGGATTCAACCAGCCATACTCTGGAGGCGGTGGCTATGGACGTCCACCACCACCGGCGCCGGAACCAGAGCCGGAGCCAGAACCTCAAACACCGCCACCACCTCCACCACCACCACCGCCACCGGCACCAGAACCAGAACCCCAGCCGGAACCACAACCAATCACCCACTACGAGCCACCACCGCCACCACCACCACCAGTTCCAAATAGTTATATTAGACCATCAACCTACGGAAAATAAACAGTCACTTTACGTGTAAATACTAACAATAACCAGAATAAAGTCATTTGAACTAAAACCTGGAAATGAAAAAAATATTTTGAAAACTGAATATAATAAAAACAATATTTCTCAGTCAACATTTGTTATCCTTCAATAAACTCATAGATTTGTTTTCATTCTCTTCGTCAATCTTATTATCATTTGGTTTTCGAACTTTCAAATGCATTTCGCAATTCGGCATATTATCATTCAACCCGTCAGATCAATCGTTCGATCTGTCTTATCAATGATTGATTCTTTGAAGTTACTTCATTCTTGAATCACATCTATAAAAAAACAATCGATATGTACCCGGGTAGCAATTTTAAAGACAAAAAAATTGAAATATAAAACGGCTGGTTCACCAATTATCTCGTGCGGCATTTTTAAGCTCGGTCTTACAATATCGATGAAAAATGACAATAAATGAAGCAGTGAAGAGAATGATGACGGAAACTGTTGCCACCGTAACCACTGATATGAACGTTTTCGGATCGAAACACAGCGAATTCGCCTCGAGTTTCTTTAACTCTTCCGCTGAAAAAAATTGTCCTTGTTTTGTTGATCATAGAGGTCGCGTCCCTACCATCAGATGGGCTATCATCTCCATCCTTATCCAAAACATACACAGTTTGAGAAAACATATCAGCATCCCTTGGTTTAAAGGTGCTTGCGTCACGCTTGGCCTAGAAAATGTGCGCATGAATTGAATGTAATAAGAAATGCAATACTAACAATTTGTTTTTGCAGCGCACTTTCATCAACGTATCCGCACAATGGTGGAGTGATGCCGTCGCAGCCCCCATCGTCCTTCAAGCAAAGTCGAATTTCGCATTGGAATCGGACAGCAATGCGGTCGGCAAATTTGAAAACAAATGACTCTCGATAAGCCATGTTCAACGCTTCCACATACGTTGGATCGCCGAGAAGTAGATGATCGGAATGGCATCTGACAAAAAATTGAAAACGAATTTCCAGAAACTGTGACTCATCGCGTTACCCTCGTTCATCAATGATCATCTGCTTTTCACCTTGACCGTCTTCCACGTAACAGCTGTGAACGAGAAGGCCATAATCCTCTGTGAAATTCAAGATTTATAATTACACGTCTCTCGTTTTCAACATAATTTCCTTCACCATGAATAGCAAAGTATAATCAATCAAAAATTGGTGGGGGGGATCCCGGAACCGAATGGAATGATAAGGAATCGCAAAAACAGTGATATTATTTTTCAGTTAGTTTTTCTGAAGACTGCAAAAAAATTTTGAACCAGATCTTTATATCCTCTTAAAAATTGAAAAATGCGATGATATTTGAATTGTTGAATTATGGAAGTCTCAAGTGAAATATTGACAGTCCTTTTTAGAATTCTGATCCAACGAAAATATTCTAGGATTCGTTAAGCTCACCTGAATCGCATTGCCATCTATGGACAACTTGATCCCCAACTTTTGCATATTTTAATATTGGTCCATCCAATTGGTCTCTTCTGATTGTATAGCTACATGTCGGCATGGGAAGGTCAGATTGCACCGATTCCGTCGGCAGATTACTGTAACGGGCAACGATTAATTGAAACAATTCGATTAGTATTGCGAACACCGACCAGAACACCAATAATAGAAGTAACAATGTGACATCGATATATGGAATCATATGGGTTTGTGCAACCACGGATTAAATATCGCAAAACCGTTTGGTTATTTCGATTACAAATTCACTCACTTTCACTATTCGAATACTTGTTTTTTTTTTCCAATTTCGATTGACAAAAAATTACGAATAAACTGAAATAAATACCTGACATCGATTGCCGCGGTGACCGTACGAGCTGCCTCTTTGTACATACACTTTATATGGTAAGCTTTGTCCATTCGTGTAAGGAAAAGCTGAAAAAAAATCAAAATTAAATGAGGTGAATCAACGGCGTATACCGGATGGAAGCTAATAATTAAGATTGTGCTGAACATCATGCCTTCAGGAGCAATCTGAATCAAACATGTTAATCTTGTAAGATTTCGATTATCTCTGATTCCATTGAAATCAAAATTATATTACCATCCTCTGTCGATCCATATTACAGGCTCCGTGATTGAGCTTGATGCCTCCGACGGGCCGCCCATACTGATCTTTATTGCTATAGTCGACTCGGCACTCGGGTCGATTATAACTACCCTTCACATAGACCTTCCCTAAAACCGTAATATTTCTTGTAACGATCATAATTGAAACCGGTAGCGCACCGGTAAATTGTTTGCGTGTGCGAAACTGCATGTCAATCGTGTCGGCGTTGCATTGAATTTCAGGGTGACCAATCAATTCATTGTCGTCTTGAATTGCCACGGCAACCTGCAATTTTCGTCAATTAAAAAAAAAGGGAAAAATGACAAATTGAGGTGCTGCTTAATTGTCTTGCAACTGTGCACTTACAGCTATTACAAGTATGAGTAGTTGAATTGGCTGATGGCCGATGCGCATCGTTACTAAAATCATGTTAAGGAGATTTGGTGGCGTCAAAAAAAAGAAGAAAGTTAAATGGGCGGATTTGTGCGCGCGACAAGGAGTCAAACAATGGGTCCCGGCCCTTCATCCCCGCCAAACACCGTCACGGAATCTGCATGACTAATTACGGTGTATTTGGCGGGACAGGCAAGGGTGGCGGGTGTGAAGGTCTTGGCACACCACAATATGGCGGAGACGGCTGGCTGGTTTCACGGAATGAAAGAGCGGAACTTGGCTCATTGTTTCCTTGATGATGTCGTGCAAGAACATACATGAGACGAATTGAAATAATTACAAGGCGACTTGCTGAGTTTTTTTTTCTAGGGCAAGAACAAGAAAAAAATTGAAACGAAATGTAATTCAAGGTTTTTGCAACTACATAATTTTCGGAGTGCGCCGCCGGTGGAATTTCGCACCAATTTGTTGGCATTTCGAAGTATGTTAGAAAAATTTAGAAGGTGAGTGTAGTTGAACGTTTATTTCGGTAATTTGTGAATGTCATCTTTTAGTGAGCGAATTCACAAGTAGTTAGAAAATTTAAAGAATTAATTTTCTTCATTTTACTCATTAAATAATATTAATTGGGAATTTTTTTGCTTGAGTTTAAAAAATAATCGAAAAAAATCGTTGACATAATTCTATTATAAACAATTTCCATATTTAAAATAAAAGGTAGTAGAGTTAAGAGTAAGCTCAAAATAAGCTAAAATTCTTATTTATAGTAATATAGCCTATTTTGGATGATTGTTATATTAAATTTTCATTTGTGAGTCTTCCAGATTCTTTAAGCTATATAATAAATTAAAATGATAAAAAAATACTACAATCAAATGATTATGTTTAAAGGCGAATAAAAAAAACCCGTTGAATGTCGAGAATCTCGACCTAAATAATGGGATGTGGGTAGCCGACTAGGTAATAGTACTACTAATAGTAGAATAGGCGCGTCGGCGGAGCTATTACCCATTTTCCCATACAAAAAAATAGTTATACTGGCGAACTGACCTCATATAAGGGGGCCGAATCTCGAAGGGCGGAGGACTTTCGAGAATTGGTTATTGCCGGTCAAAGTTTTTCTTTTTCCAACGCCTTTTCGGGCGAAGAGCCGTTCTTGGAGGTGAAAGGTTAAGAACGATGATGCCGCAATTACAAGCTACCGGACTTTGTATATTGTGTCCGCCTCCGTTGGCGTTACATAATGATTGTTTGATGGGTGGCGGCGGGTGAAGTGGCATTGTGTATCGCTTTTGGTATTAATAACAAAGTGGTGTCATTGACTTTCTACCTATTCAATTCTTACTCGTTGAGCTTCCGCCGTGAACGTCAAGGGTACCAAGAAGTTGCCTAACAATGGACAATACGGGTTGGGGAAGCTTGAACGCTAAAAAGTGAAAAAGCAAAAAAGGAATGTTAGTTTGAAAAATGAATTTGCGTGCAGTTCAGGAATTGTTTCAAAAAATTCTGAAACGAAGAGGTATTTGAATCAACTGACTTCGTGTTTAGAAAGCAGCAAATAATTTGACCTAGCTATTCAGTGTCCTAGAAATTATAGTGCGTTTCACATTTAAAGAATCATCCTAGTATAAAATTTTATATTTCATATTAACTTCAGGGAATACAATTTCAAATTTGCGCCAATTCTCAGAACGATATCTGAAAAGTAGAAGAAATCAGAGAAAATTGGATTGCGCAGCCATTTCAGATAAATAAAACCAGGCAAATTAACGATTTAAATAAATTTCAAGAGAATCAAAATGAGATGTGTGCCTTTAAACATATCATTAAAGATTTTTAGATAAATTGATGAACCCTGACAATTTGCCAACAATGATCTATAAAAGAATGAATATGTAAAATTTGGGCAGGCGTGTAATAGTATAATAAGACATGGTAATAAAAAACGATAACCTCTGCCGATTACCTGCGCCATTCGAAAGTGGCAAAATCCAGATTGGTGACGGAAATGAAAAGTGCGAAGCTTAATGGAACAAATTTCCAGCCAACACGCATGCCAAACATTTCATCGCACCTTTGAATAATTGGGCCGAAAATGCATCCATGCACGCATGCAACAGTTTTTACAACAAGATCTTTCTTATTATTATTATTATTATAACAAATGTAAAATGGTTTTGAAGGCATTTCATCGCGGCTAGCATTCAATTCGATTGTTTGGTTCCGGTTGATTGATGAAATTCAATTCAAGGAACAAAATTTTTCGAATAGTGGTGCCGATGAATGGTAAACGTGTCGCTTCGAATCAGTGTTGATCGTGTGCGAGCAGCTGGACCATTCCAAACATAGTATGTGACCAGACCACACTGTCAATTATACGGGGGGGGGGTTAGGCGTGGTGGCTAATATTGAAACATCTGTTGCAAAGGTAAACCTAGGTACCCCGACAAATTGAGATTTGCCTACAAGTCAGCCAACGCCAAACATTTTTTTTGATTGATTAATGGTTTTGAAAGTGAAAATTAAGAATTGAATTGCTATTTATTGCCCGGTAATGAAAGTGTGTTGAGGAAAATGGATTAGAGGAAAGCATGAGTCTCCAAATCTCAGTAGCCATATCAATATACAACACGAATAGATAAACTCTTGATACCCACCTCGGTGTATAGTTTTGAGCTTCTTTTAATGGAATAGCTCTATTACAATCTATTTGCCAATAATCCGATATATGTATATATCGAACCCCGCATATCCGCATGGTTTCGATGTCTCAGCAAATAGAACACCGTATTACCTGTTTCACGTATTTAAACAGTTTATGATGCAGAAATTTGACCTTGTATAAATTTGGAGAGCGTAAATTTAATGGTAATCCGCAGATTTTACTAAATTTTCTGGCAACCTTCAAAGAAACCTCATTGAGCGATTCAAATGCTCACAAGACGAAGGCAAACCAGTTGAAATATTTGTTATCCTTGAAATTAATTTATTTTATGACACAATTCAACCAAATATGGTGGACACGATGAAATTAAACTTCGCAAGCACTTAAACTCGTTAGTGGATCAATAATGTCGATCTGGTCAAGACCAAAGTATGAATATTTGTTGCGCAAGTTGCGAACCGAAAATTCGAGCTGAAAAAAAATTTTTTAATTCTTAGAATTTTCAATTTTGACCAACCGTTCCATTAATGGAAAGATACACTTTTTTACATTGCCATTCCCTGGAAAAACTGTGAACATCAACAGTCGTGAAAAGTCTGAAAATGTTGGATTAGGAATCTGATCCTTCAAAACCATTTGTTTACATAATTTTCTCCACCATATCCTTTGGATGTAAAATGATTGAAAACTGAGTTCCAAGGCTTGGCATGAAATAGCAAAATTGCAAGCCATACGTTCTAGGAATCATTAATTCTCCCAATTTCAAACTTGCGTTTCCTGGGCCTTTTACGTAACCAAAACTGCCCTCTGAATAAAAAAAAAGTTATTTAAGACATAAATCAATTATTTATATTACCTAATGGCTTCAAAATTCCAGTGCTTTTTGAGCCCACCGGCTCATCGTCAATTTCCCATTTTTTATCAAGCTTCTTCGTGCAATCCCCAATGTCGAAATCGCAATAAATCGCTCGGCACACTTTCTCAGTGACGTTGATTGGTTTTGGTATATGGGGTACTGGAAATTGGGTGTTATTTACAACCAGTTCCGCTGCCTTCTTATTATTACTTAATTGACATTGATAAATCGCCGATGCGTTGTAGGAAATGTCGTCGATCGCAGCGGCACCTCCTTGAACACCAAACGCGTCCAGGGAAAAGCCGTAAGCTTCGACAACTATCTGAAATTTTTATTCTCATCTAATTTCCTCCACAGCCCTACTATTTTTCTAATTGCTTTGTCTATTAGTACACCAATTGGTGCTTATTTTTCATATGACGTAACAGCAAAAAATGTAGTTCTTTAACGATATTCTGACTTGGTTACGTGATGAATGACAAATATTAAACGTGTAATTCTGAAGCATTAGTGAATTAGAGATTTTCACTGATTCCTTGTTTTCACGTTTGCAGGAAGTTCAATAGTTTGTTAAATGATTGAAAAATTGGAGTTGAGTTTTGCTAAATTTTCTAATTCGCCGAATAGAATTAGTCGCCAAATTCTGACCCATATGACCCAGACAACTTCCTTAAGCTTTCACTATTCATAGAATTTGGTAGTACGAAAAATTTGGGAAAGATTTAAACGAGACCATTCAATTGTGGTTAGCGAAAAACAAACTTCCGACCAATGGCGTGATGATGCCAAATTTATTCTTGCCATTTATATTTGGGCATCAAGAATTATAAATAGTATAAAGTTTAAAATGATGTTTGCCCTTTTTGGTATAAGCTTCTCATTATTTAATCTCTGAATAAATATAAATATGATCCGCTGTAAGAATTCTAGAATAAACCTCCAGCTCATATTTCCGATTGTTACGTTAAAAATAGGAGTTTCGGAAATTCTCGGAATACATTGATATGAACCAAAAAATTTTTTTCCGTTAAAAAAATAGCGTTACCTCGAACATATACATAATACTTCCAGGTATCACAACCTTTGCCATATTTGTGTTATTCCTTCGAATCGTCTCACTGCACCAGTCATATCGTTTTCCCATCGATGGCGGTCTGAGCATTAGCCATTTTCCCATTCTTTATGACATTTCTTACCTCACGCATACTCTTATTTTTACTCCTGGCGATGTCCAATGCCGAAACTTGACGATTCCATCGCCTTGTTGACATTGAATCGGATCGCTAACAAGCATCGCCGAATAAGTTTCGGGCATTTTCTGTTGGACGCCAACGAAAAGAAAGAAACCATCTAAAATTGACGACGACGTCGCATTAATTCAATTTCATGGTTTTCGTTTCGCACCGGGTTTGTCGCTTTTTTGAAACACGTCTTTGCCTTGTGGTCCCCATGCGCCGCGCATTCGCATCCAATCATATTGGTCGCCGATGCCATCGCACGTGTTTCTCTCATTATGCCACCTGCATTTCAAAAATTCAAAAATTGTTCCGTCAACGGCCAAGGAAATAAATATCATTTCCGATGACGTGATTTCCAATTATTTTCATTTCAATCTAAACATTTAATCCGAGAAACCCAAAAAAAAAATAAAAACCTGCATGTCCTTGTAAAGAATGAATCAAAGTCATGGCATTCCAAATCGCACGGGCATGAAATTACAACGTTTCCAAATGGGGAGCCTAAATTTTGAAATATTCTATTTATCAGCCTATTGTCACATTTCAAGACCTTCTTTGAACATGGGGAAAATTACATCCACATCTGTATGACCTCCAAGAATTTCTGAAAAAAAAACTATAAGCAAAAAATAAATTCCGCTTTTTTTGTTTCTAATTCAATAGAATTTTCGTCGCCTTGAATTCTACAGTAGTAAACTCAGCCAATGACGACAACGCCATATCGAATTTTGCAACTCTTTTCGTGATGTCAGAACAAATCTTTGCAAACACGAATTTTCCCATAATTGAAACAAAAATTATAGAACGCATATGTAACCTGACTTTTATAATTAAATTTCATTTGAAACGGTGCAATTATATACAAACATGTGTTTCTTTCTTAATTATATCCACATTTTATTTTAATTGATCGATTTTCAATATTCAATCTAATAGTTATAATGAAATGATTTTTTTTACAACTTTAAAAAAATCATCTAATTCAATAGCTGAGATTGACAGATTTAGTTAAAATTTGCATGCACCAAAAATCTCGTCATTTGTCAATTTCAGGTTTAAGCTTGTTGCAATTAGGTGTTTGAACTTTCACGGTGGGAATTTACGCCATCTTTTTTTGTGATCGCTCAACAGGTGAAGCATAACCACTTTTTATATTTTTGTTTAAACAAAAATGTTCGAAAAACAAAAAAAAACAACTATTCCACAAGTTACAATAGGCAGCAGATGTTTTTTGAATCAATCTTTTGATTTTTGAGCACTAAATAGTTTTAGTATCAATTACTTCTTAATCTCGGCACCTCTGCGCTAAAATAGGCAGCATCTATTATTTGACTTGTCGGGCATTGTCCTAAAATAGAGGAATTGCAAATAAGCTATTAATAATACAATAGGCACCAACCATTCGTCATAAAAATATAGGAAATAATGATGAGAATAGTGAAGCTGTCCATACAACGCTTTTTTTGTGAAATGACAGTTTTGCATATCCATGAAAAAAAACCGAAGAATATGCAATTTCAAGGTCATTTATTCGTCCGGAATCCTGCTACTTGTAGGATTTGCAAATAGTACAAGTGAGAGTGCATAGTATTTGATGATTCACTTCTACTGTATCAACAAAAATTGCATTCCTCAATAATTAATTGGGCTACTTCACATATCGTGTAACTCAATTTGGGCCAATAATAAAAAAAACTTTAAAAAATATAATAATAATAATTGTGAATAAGCTCTCACACCATTTGGTCCAGTATGATTTTAAAAATTGAATAAGAAGACCGTTAGTTTATTGTTTGATGAGCATTTAACCCATTAAAAGCTACCCACTTCCCATTTGGTTGTAGTTTGATTTTGCATTTCTAAATGGCGATCTAATCGATTGTGGAACTTCCCTGGATTTGAGGACCAATTTTCAGGAGATTTCATTTTTTCAATGACATTTATCCAAAAGATGTTCAAACGATCTTTGTTGCATCAATCATTCAAACATTCATTGCTCAGAAACATATCAACTTCCTGTTGATAAAACGGAACTGTTTCTTTCCATGAAGTTTTTTTCTTATAGTTTTAGTCCCTTCTAGTATCATATGCATTAATACACCATAAGCTTACATATTTACGGTTTGATATTTCCAATTAATGGTATAGTTAATCCAAAGGAATTCATAGTTTTTAATAAAAAAAAAAACTAACAATTATACATCAGCTCCATAAAAGTACCGAAATAAAATGATGAATGCTAATTTTAGAAAATCGACCAATGACCAAAATTCAGAACGCTATTATAAAATCATCATCTTTTAGGTTATGAAAAAAAGCGGAAAAGCGACATCTAACATTTCAGTATTTAGAAATGCATGGTCTGTAAACACAGAATGTAGTTTTGCCTCAACAATAACCCGTGATTCGTCACCGTTTCTGCTACTTTATGTTCATCATTTTTTTCTTCAACCACCTCTTTCTTATTTCCATCCCCACCCCACGCCAAACGTCACTTTACCTTCTCGCAATAATTCATAATAAAATATGAAACTTTTTTTCCCGTTTTTGCGGGTCGGTGCGTTTTATTGGCGCAAACTATCTTTTCTTCTCAAGAGCTTGTTTATGAAAATTCGCGCATTTTTATTCCGGTTGCCAAGTTTTGGTCTTAGCCAGACATTTTTTTATTTCCTATTTCTATTTTCGGCGGGATAATGCATCGCATTTGCTAAAAATAATCGTTGAGCCAATGGATCACGGTCAAATATGAGCATGCGATACCTCCAATTATTAATCATTCTCAAAACATGAGCTGGTCAACTGTTGGAGCTTATTTATCATATGACAACCCAATTCAACGAAGTTAACCTAATTATAGTCCTTCAACTTATAATTTTATGACGCGACCCGTCTTATAAAGCCTGCCAGCAGTTTCACACTTGACTCGTTCTAGGTAATCAATGTCGAATCGGCGTTTCCTGTCGACAGTTCTGGTTTTGACCTTTGCCACTTTGATTGTGTCTTTCGAATATGACAAGAAAATGAATCCCATTCTTCGGTAAGAAGAACGGTTCCCAAAATTTTCCAGTCAAATTCTATTCCAGACACTTTGCTCAGCAGGACCGACTTAAACCGTTGATGCAAGCATTGCGGACCTCCAAGTAAGTATCAATTTCAGTTTCGCTTATCAACTTTAATTGCAGGTCTGAAACTGAGGGCTACCGCAATTGTTATCTATCGCCAATTCAATGCCATTTGCCAGCGAGACGTGAGCCGCAGCAGCAACAATTGTCGGTTCTCGATGATGATGAAATGAATCGCTTCCGTCGAATGCTGTTCCCAACTAAATAGAAAATGTTCCCAATTTTTGTAATTTTATTTGTGTGTGTGTATGTGGATGTGAAAACAAGCACATAATAATAACAGCTTCACGTCGGGGTAATAAATATATTGTTATTTATGTGTTTCACAAATTTCAAAGCGGTCGCCGATAGCGCTCATCAATGTCGACGTTTTGAGACATCGCCAATAATCTGAGCACAGCGTGCTCCAATCTACGCGGCTCGTACACACAATCAGCCAGCTGCTCGATGCGAGCCTCCATATCCTGCATTCGCCGTTTCAGTCGATGGTTCTGTAAATTAAAATCAAATTGAGCCAATTCTCAGAATTGTTTTCCCGTTTTTCATCAACTTAGTTGCACACCCTATTTGTATGATGAAACGTCATAATTTATGCAATTCCATTAATGAATTCTAAAAAAAAAAAACCGAAACATCAAAATAATTTCGCAATGAGCAGAATTCGTTCTGAGATGTATTTCATATTTTTCCTTAACAATTTTGGCGAGCTCGTCTACAGACCAAAAACACAACATACGATGTCTATAAGGCATAATTATATATAATCTTGGCATCATGACAAATTCCAAAATAGAACGAGATCTTTGCTCAACTTCAGATCCCACTCAATTTCAGCTAGCATAGTTCAAAAAATCAACTAGGAAAAAGGATTCATATCAAGTTCAATTGATGGCAGCCGTACCTGTGCTAATGCATCTTCACATTGTTTCTCTCGGACTACAAGCTTCTGCTGAACCTTCGCTTGAGATTTCTTAACCTCAACCTCTTTTGTTTTCATCAGAGTTATTGCATCCGATAGCTATAAATTAAATTTCAAGTCTTGCACATTCAGAGAAGAATGGTCTCGCCTTATTAATTGCATTTTCCTGTTTGACGTTGGTGTCTCTTAAATGCTCAATTTGCTGCTTTGAAATTTTCAACTCCGATATATTTTTTTCATTTTCATCGCTTATTCGGTCGCGTTGCTCGTTCAATTGTACACACTAAATCATTAAAAGTAATTGGATCAATTATAAGATTTTTACAGTTGCTTTAAGGTTCCAGATCTCTTCTTCAAGAAGCCCAGCATCCTCACGATGGCTTTCTCGCAATTTCTGAAGCGCTTCATTATGCTTCTCCTTCGCCGCTTCCAATTTCTCTTTTTCCATGTCCAGCTTCAATTCCAACGCCGCAATCACACGTTTCAACTGAATAACCCAAAAAATTGTTGAAAATCTTATTCGAAATTACATTTTCAATTTCTTTTAATAGCTTAGAAATATTATGCCGCAGTTGACTTTCCGTTGTTTGAAAAGACACGATCGTTTCCTCGTGTTTCTTTCCGGCGGCTAGGTGAATTTTTTTGATCTAAAAGTGCAATATTGAAACGGAAGTGATGGCGGGGGAGGGGGGGAATGTTTTACTTCCTCCTGTTTTTCCTCCATCTGCCGAAATGATTTCCTTATTTGATCTTCAATCATTTTTTCGTATTTCTCCTTCTGTTGCCGATTTTCCTCCGCGTATAATTCTTTTAAGCTAGCTATCGTTTGATGTTTGATGGACTCCGATTCTTGGAATTCGTGCTCAATGCTCTTAATAACAAACATTTTCTGCTGGGAGCTCTGGTGTATGATAGTCACCTTTACTCGTTCGGTATATATTCTCATTGCCTCTTCAAATGCTGATTTTGCCTCTTGCATCTCCTTTTCCTTATTTTCCGTATACATTTTCACAAATTGCTCAGTGGATTCGCGAATCAAGTTTCTTTCAGTATCAATATCACGTAAAAGGGATTTCTAAAATTGGTGATCATTTCAAATAAATGAGATGAATAACCAAGTTGACAACTCCTTCAAACTTGCACAGTATCAAGTCAACATCATTTTCAGGTTCCTCGGCTTCTTTAAGTTTCAGAAACGCGACAGAGCCATTTTCATAACCAATGAGAAGCTCATTATTGAATGCCCGGAGCTGGAAAGCTGTGATGACGTTGAAAAAATAAAAACAAATAAAAATTGGTTTCTTGCAGATTTCTTGATGTTCTAACAATTAATTGTCATTTTCAAACCCAGCGTGTGGAATAATTCATCATACATGTGTGATTCGCTGTCCTCGAATCATCGATTTCACAACTTTCGGCTCATCGAGGGCAGACGATAAGGAGCATAGCAACTCTCCGCAATCTGCCGACACGAAAACATAATCCTCATTGGCTGAAAATTTGAAAATTTCCGAATATGACCATATTCATACAACACCTTCAATTAACTCCGATGTTATTGAAAATCCGATATCCGACGCGTGCATATTAACATTGCTCAAATCCTAGAAATGAATATTGTATCGTTGCTCACAATTTCCGGAATTTTTTTTCGACTAGACCTTGCCATATTTGATTCGAGTTACAATGAATTTCTGGTTCATTAGAAGAAGCGTCGAGTTGCAAAAAGCTATTGAAGTGAAAAAATGCAGCTTATAATCCACACTCCACAGCGTTTTTCCGGTCGAAATATCCAAGCAATAGACATGATCATTTTTCGTGAGAAACATCAAGTATTTGTTGTCAAGGGAGAATATTAGGTTCTTGATATCCTTAAAAGGGAAAGATGTTGGCAAGAAAAAAACTTAGATAAAACCTTTCGAACTGATATATCTTCGCTCATTAGAATCTTCTGATCTTCGGCGCGGAATACCACCATCCCATATGCGTCAATTATACAAATAATAGACATATCAAATGAGTCAATGGCCTTTTAATGAATGTGACTGTGTGGAATATAATATTATACTTACAAATAGAATATCATTCTTCATGAATTTTTCAAATGGTATCAAACCGTCTAGTGTGATTATTCTTTTCTCCAAACAATTTTTCGAAGCAATCAGTAAATGTTGTGATTTTTTGAGAATTGTAAAGAAAAATGCGTCGTCAATTTGAGAATAGCATAAAACCCTCCTGAAATTTTCTAATTAAATTTATATTTTTTTTCGAAAAAGCGCGTTACTTTGTATTTTTAGATGTAATTATAAAAAAACCGGACGCATCTAGGGAAGCAATACAGTGCTCATTGGATTTGACGCATACAACTTTGCTACAGTGGCGAACTGTCACGACATCTCCATTTATGGCATTAATGCGTGTAAGAAATCTAAAAGTGGACAATGTTCAGAACTTGCCATTTATGGAATAATTGTGGGAATGAAACGAGCCTAATTGGAACTGTCATTAAGCATCTTCCATTATCATAGAGCAACGTTTCATCGCCAAAATCAAATGATAGGCAATGGCTTCGGTGATGCACAAAATCTGGCAGCTGCAAACGATTTCACATCATTTTAACGAATATTGGAAAATACGATGATCGCTCGGCTCGTTGACCATATTGGGCCGCTTTCCGCCGCCGAATCGAACACAAGAACAATTCCAGAAGCTAATTGGCACGCAAATCTTCGAGTTGTACTTCTGAGGCAGACAACATGAAATATTGCAGCGTCTTTTAACACTCTAAAAAATCAAAATTGAATATTTATATGAAATTATGTGGATTTACTCTTGTGACAAATTTTTGATATTGACAATTTCCAACAAAATCGTCTCTCGGTATACGCTCAAAGTTCCATCCTTTGTGCCAAACATAATGTTGACATCGTTTGACCATTCATGGCACGTGACATCAGTTAGCTGGATTGTTGAGAAATTCTCAACGTATCCACCAGAAGCTCGTAGCATGTAAGCCATTGTGCCGCCAAGAGCACATATCACCCCCTCATCGGCCGGACAAAACGACATTTCCCACAATTTCACGTTTTTCTCGGTAAGAATTTGGCCGGAGCAATTATTTATTCCATCCTTGACGTCAAAAGTTTGCACAAAAATGCGTTCATCCAAAGGGGTAAGGCAAGCAATGATCTGAATATCATCAAGAAATCAATTTTTCACATATTCTCACACCTCAGCTCCTTGTGATATGCATAGCTCAGTTGGGAGATACTGAGTTCCATAAACGCATTTCTCCTCAGTCATGCTGATCTCAGGCGTGTACACAACGATTTTCGAATTGTTTTGTTCTTCAGTGGCGACAGCGAATAATGTGAAGTCGCTGGAAATCGAAAAGCATGTGGTTCGTCCAGAAATTGGAAGAAAATCGAGTCTAGGAATGTCCTCGGCCATATTGATGTGCCGCATTTTTCCATTTTCCAACAGCACGATGGTCTTATTGAAAGAGAATGCAGCTCTCTCGAAGCCTGTTACCGAGCAAATTTCATTTCGTACGTGCGAACTGGTCATATTGCTTGGTATCTACAAAAACCTCCGGATTCTTTTTAGCAGTTGTCTGAAAATAAACAATAGACGATGTTTTTCTGAATCATGTGCAAACCCTAAACCAAAGTGGATCGTAATATTTGAATTTTATTGCGAGATCACTCTTCAAGAAATCCTTTGAATCGTCTTTATCACTTTCGTCGCTTCCACCTTCTTTTATAATAACTGGAATCTTCTCAAGTTTTTCTATTTTCTCCGCTGCCTTTTTCCCTTGGCTCAAATCGCGTTTTGCAGTAACAAGTCTCGTCGATTTCTTCTTATTTGACAGATTTGGTTCTGATCGTGATGCGGTTATACTGCGCATTACTCCATTCTGAAACACAAATAATTGGAATATTATGAAAAAAATATATATATGGCGTTGAAATTGTGAAGAAGAATGTTCCAATGTACCTTAATTTTCGCTTCACGCACCAGCGCTTTGTATTTCCGGTCAAGTGTGACTTCTCATGCAGGAGCAAAATTAAATGTGCTTTAGCTATAACAATTATAAAAGTATAGTTTGACCTACCGTCCCTCCCCCATGAGCATTGAAACACGGGCGTTTTGTACACATCGAATTCCACAAATCCTTTCTATTGTTTCTGAAAAGCGAAAGCAAAAGGCCGAATACACGATTGAGAAATGACACAGATATGCTATTATCGAAGACTCGCAGACGTTGGTTTGCATTCATACTATGTAGTTAACAATGTCTATGTCATTCAAACCGGCTGCAATATAATCGAATAATGATGGACCCGGTAAAAAAAAACCGATCGGATGCGCCCTATGTCATGTATAAAAGTCCGAACCGTGGCGTTAGTTTCAATATCGTTGAAGATGTTCACCACTTCTCAACTCATCTGCTCATTCCTTCTCGTTTTGGCAATTGCGGCCCATCCTGTTGATCATTCAAGGTGAATTTCAAACATTCGCTGAAAATACCTTTTTTTTTGTGTTACAGCCATGAAAACTCATATGATAACTCTGGATACGGGTCGGATTCCAAACATAAGAACGACTTCCACAAATCGTCGGAAAACCATGGGCATGATGTATCTCAGAAAGGGTACAATTATAAGAATCGATAGAAATTATTTATGTCGACATTTATAGATATTACAACGATGGAAAGGGAAATGAGCACGATCTTTATGATCATGACGGAGCCAAGCAGAAGAAGAACAGCGTTGTTCACAAATCCGATGCTGCTAGCAAGTATGTTGATGACGCCGCTAACTACAACAAGAGTAGGTTACTCGAATTCTTCATTTATATTGCAAAGCCTTTTTCAGACGTGAAGACCAAGTCGTTCGGGTTCTTCGACTATCACTACGTCCAGCCGCAATACCATATGGAACAGTACCACACCGACGAGAAGCACGCCAACAAGTACTCTGGAGATGAGCACAACGCTGGACAGAAGCATGACAATAAGGGCGGATATCATGCTGATGGATACGAGGCATACGGTAAAAAATTGAGTGATACTTTTGAATTATTCTAATTGGCTCATTTCAGACAAGGAGCATGACAAACATGGAGCCAGCCATTCCGACTATGGGCATGAAGATGATGGACACAAGAAGTATTATGATGATAAGGACGGCAAATATGGTGGACACTCCGATGGATATTACAACAAGGGATACCAGGGATACGGACACGGACACGACAGCGAGAGTTATCAGCCACCAAGCTACCATCAGCCAAAATATGGATACTACGAGCCACACTATGGCGGAAGCAACAAATATGAGGCTCCTTATTATGGATACAACTCGAAATACTATTAGATAAGTAACAAATTTTATTGTAGTAGATAATTGAGGTTCAATATGCTTGGAAATAAACAAACATTTTTTTTTGTAAATCAATGGTTTTGTGAAATGCTCATTCTTCTTCATCTTCCTGCTCTTCCTCGGAAGCTTCAGCTTCTTCGGCGACTTCCTCTGGCTTCTCTTCGACTGGAGCGACGGCTGCGGCATCCTCCTTCTTCTCTTCTTTGTTCTTCTTCGACCATTCTGGCTTCTCAGACTTCTTCTGCAAATTTAAGGCTCCACATTAGCACAGAATTTCAGCATTTACCTTGTTGGAAATTTGAGTGAACACGCTTTCCTTCTTCACAACCTTCAAGTTTGAGCGGAGATCCTTCGAAACGCTTTCCTTGTTGTCATTCTTCTTGAACTTGTTGTCGTACTTCGACACCTTCTTCAATGAAGGCTTGACGAATTTTCCTCGCAAATCATTCACTTCAATGTTCAATTGGTTAATGGCGGTTTCCATTTGTCGGGTCTCATAGCTAATATCGTATTTTTCCTCTTCAAGTGTGCAAACTCGATTGAAAAGCTCATTATAAATAGCGGAGAGTTTATCATGATCGCTGATCGAGTCTACGTCTGGAAGTGGAATAGTTCGCTCTTGAAGAATCTGCAATTAAAATGAACGTCATACATTTTGGAAAAATTAATTTTAGCACCTTGACACGTTCCTGTTCCTTGAGCAACTGCTGTCTCTTCAAGTCTTCAGCAGCCTTGATCATGAGAAGCTTCTGAAAATTATGACGACTCTACACCAATAATCATTTATAGCAATCAACTCTAAGCTTCTTCTTTCTCTCTGGCGTTAAGAAACCCTTCTTCTGCTTCTTCTGACCAGCTTCTTCAAGACGTTTGCGAACCTCAGCCTTCTTGCGTTCTCTCTCTTCAGCCTTACGCTGGGCATCCTTAAATCAACGGTTCCAAAGAAATGTTTGAGAAAAAATTGACTTACAGCGACCTCATCATCAGCAGCAGCACCGCCGTAGCGAATTTGAGTGTCCTCGAAAACGCTCATGGTTCCGCAAACCTAGAAAAATCAGCAATCATTATTACATGCGCATTTTTTTATGCTCAGTGAATGTGCATTAGATATTATATTTTTTGACGGGTTATGAAGAAGTGAAAGGGTGAAAGCGTTTGAGGAAAAAAAATTGATTGGTGAGTTAAAGCAGAAGAACGAAATCTACATCCTAACAATTAAACAAACAAAAATATTTAAATTTTGGGGAGAATAGTTCATGCCTAATTGATTGTTGAAGTTAACCAAAGTTGTCATGCGGAACATAAGTGCATTATATAAACTCACGTGTTCCGTATAGTTTGCATAATAAATAGAGTTTTAAACAAAACAATTTGATGTAAGCTATCTTACCATATTCCAAGTCACTGAAATGGTTGAATTTATGATGAGATGCTGTGCTAGTGTTGCTTGGTGTTAAAATGGAAAGTTACCTTATAAAGGAAGTTCAGTGCGAGTGTTGTTAGTGATGTTAGGAGCTATAAATATAAGTCTCCGGTGAATTGCGAGTGCAATGGGATAGTAGCGCAAGAAGGGATCGAAAGTGCAAGTGATTATATGGAACTGTTATGAAATTTTGGGATTGCCAACATTCAAATCCTAGGGGGGAAAAGTGTTGGTTAGTGCGAGTGCTTGTACATGGTAATTATAGAGGGGTACTTTTAGTCATATGCATTTTACGTGCGGATTTGCAAAATACGTTTTTCATTATATGTACAAAAAGGGCTGTTTGGTCTAATTAGCATGTTCACTAATTAGAGTGTTGGTTTTCAAGGGGAATAAAGTTCATTTCAATTTCGAATCGCTATGAAAAACGAATTGGAGATGGCAGCGTCAAAGATCTGGACACTCATCGAGGGTGGGAGGCTAGATATTTGACGAATTGGAAAAATGGTGGAGGAGGTGGATGTCGAGAAACAAACGTGAAAACATCGAGTCAGTTGGCCGTCAGTTTATAGTACAATAACACATCCCGCAGGACATCAGAGCTCGAATTGATGATCGCCGCCATCTCGCTGAATCACACACTATTTCGCTATGAGAATTACGAAAAATGCTCGACGATGGTTGTAATGCTCGTCTCGATTTGTTGCAACGCACGCCATTTCGATTCGACGTCAAACACCCCCATGATTTTTCTTGTCAGCCAGCCACCTCCTGGTTGGTTTATTTCGAGACGCGTCTGCTTTTGATTGAAGGAAAACGCAACGATTATTGGATGAGATCCTGAGGGGCAATTACAGCAAATTACATTGGATAATATTGAGAAGAATGAGCACCTATCGTTGTATATAGAAAGGGCAAATTCTATGTTTAGAATATTGATGAATAATGCCTATTATTATGTATAAAATGAAAATCAAAGTTCCAATTTATTATTGAAAGCAAGGGTTCAAAAAAAGTGAAACATTGCAATATCAAATGACTTTTTGCGGAATTGTTTTCAATTATCGGATGGTGATGAGATTCTGTTCATTAATTACGCATATAATTTTGACAATTCCCTTAAAAACTTTTTCAGCGAACTATTTTTTCGGAGAGAATACGTGAAAACTACAAATTTATGCGCATTGGATAACCACATAAAAATCATTATTAAGCCGAGGTAAAAAAAATTGCTTGTTCGCGTCTTCCCATATGCAATACGAAGGTGTGTGATATAGTATCGATTTTGGGGAATGGCATTCACAAAACAAAAATGGTTCAATAAATGTGTCATCGAAGAGCAACAAAACGTACAAACAATAAACAATGAATAATTGTTGAAACATTATCCGCGCAAAGGGTTTGCCAAATGTGAATATTAAACTACATACTAGTGAGGGAGATCAATGATTTAGGCAGTTGGTTAAATATCTATAAATAACTTTAAGACATTTAAGCAGTTCAGATGTATTTCTAGTTGGAAATTCTGATCTACCAAGCATTTTAAACTAACCAACAAACTTACTAAAAGAAAAATTTCTATTTCGCGGTTTGAAATTCAAAAAAAAGAAATCTGATTACACAAATTATCTAAAATGTCATTATGTTCCCAATTGACGTAGAGATAATTTTTTTTTGATGTTTCACGGCATTTTTAAATCTCAATTGTTAATTTTATATTTGATTTAAATTTATAGCATTTTCAGCCTCACCTCCCTTGAAAAATCCTATTATTCTACTAATAATTATTATAATTCGATACTGATCGCATTTCGTATTTCGGCGAGAGAGGGGCGGCGAGGTTGGGGGGAAATTGAATGGGCATATAGATGAGATCTTTAGATCTTTATGAATGCATACATTTCGAGATTTCGACTATTCATCCTCCCAGCCGTTTGTTCTTATAAGTGTATGACGATCTTCAATTGATTTTCTACTAATATGTTAATTCTTGCTAATAACAAATCACTTGATTTTATAAAGTACTCAGACCTTTAATGTGTTCATTTCTTTTCAGTTTGTTCAATGTGGAACAAATTACTCTTACTAGCAATATGCATATTGGTACGTCATAGTTTGAAAAAAAAAGCTAAAACTGTCATTTCGTTGCATAATATAATTTTTAGAAATTACACGCGGAATTCGATAATGCAATCGTTGGGGACCCGAGTGTTGAATGTGGTGATGACTTCTTCGAAGTCAAATTTGATACGAGATCAATATTTAATGGCATCGCTTTTGTTCAAAGCCATTTGGATAATCCAAGTTGTCGAACATTTGTGTCGAAAAATCGTGCCGAGAAAAATACGAGCCTTCGATTGACATTTGATGAGTGCGCCGTGGAAAAAAGATTCTCGGTAGGTTTTTTTATTCAATTTCAATATTCGAATAATTTTTGAACAAGTATATTTCAAGCGGGATTTTTTAATGGCCATGTTATCAAAAAGCATTCTCACTATTGGAAAATGGTCTTAAATTAAGAAATTTAATTTTCGACAGTAACTAAATAGTATAGCGTAGGTAGTGAAATAATTAGGTCTCATCGGACGCTCAAAACAAAAAAAAAACATTCAAATTAGAAATATGCAAGTCCAATTAGAAAATAAGGCAGATGCAAAACGTTTTTCGATCCAATGAATAGCATCATTTTCACATCGGGTGGGTAGTCTTCTAACAATTTTGCGTACTCTGTAGTAAATTCAATTAATTTTCTTCGCGAAAAAAATTGAAGCAACAACGATAGCAATGTTTTTTTTTGGTTTATATCGTCTAATTGGCAATTAATTTGAAAATGATTCATTCTTATCAAAAATTTGTGGAAATGCGATTCTGGAAAATGTGAAAACATACATTTTTTTCCACTGAGTCACGCTTCAATAAGCATTCCATTATACATATAATCGCCAAATTTCACAATGCAAATTGAATTCAATTATCTCAATATGCCATCAATTTCCGTTCGAAGATATTCATCAGATCGTTTCATTCAATAGTTTATTATTAAGGAATGGTGGAATTAAGCAAAAAAAGTGAATAATAATTAGATAAATTAATTGCGACTTTTTTTTTGCTTGTTGCTTCTTAGTTAGGCATTGGTGGCCATCCGCCTTGGCCTCCGTATGGCGAACCGCCATAACCTCCTCCGGAAGGCTGCGGGCCTCCCTGAATGGATCTGTAGCCACCAGGCATGCCGCCGCCATAGCCGCCACCTCCATTTCTACCGTAGCCGCCACCGTATCCACCGTCACCGCCACCCATGCCGCCGCCGTATCCTCCATAGCCGCCTCCCATGTCGCCGCCGCCGCCATAACCGCCGCCGTAGCCGCCATCGCCACCACCATATCCGCCGCCCATATCGCCACCACCATAGCCGCCATCGCCACCTCCATATCCTCCTATAAAACGATGCAATGAAATTTGAATGACACGCAAGAGCTACCGTATCCGCCATCACCTCCGCCATAGCCGCCACCGCCGTATCCACCATCACCACCACCTATAAAAAATGATTGCTAGAATTATTGATGTAGGTATGTCGTAAAGTACCGTATCCGCCTCCTCCCCAGTCTTGGCCGAGGGCGAGAAGAGCGCAAGTCGAAAGAACAATGAGAGAACGACGCATCTGCAAAAATTATTGAGAATTAAATCGCATTTTTCAAATGATTAATGAATGAAATATGAACGAAATTGCGTCGAAATGGCATATTTGTGAAGTCGACGGTGCGCCTTATATAACAAGCAAAACGGGCCGGCTCACGAACGGCTCAGCGTGCGCGAGAAGCGAAAAAAGCCGTCCTGTCCGGATCGCATGTGTGTCTCTGAGTGTGCAAACGTTTCACCACCCATGCCGATTATCGTGTTTATCATCATCGCAATTGCGAGGAAAATGATGGGGAAGGGGGGGGGACAGTTTTTGATATGAATGATTGTATTCCGTGTCGGCTGCTCGTGCTGTGCGAGAAAAATTTCCGGAACTCAGCGAATGAATGGATACAACGGCGAAAAAACGATATATATATATTACAGAGCTCGCCGCGCGGATTGTTCATTTCAACGAATATTGTCGTCGCGTTTAATCCGGACTTTTTAACGAAAAATGATCGTGTGTTCAAGGTGCAATGCTTCTACATGGAAATGGAGCGAAGAATACAGAAGGAGATTCAAATATCGTTTGTTTTGATTTGTTCTTCCTTAGCTGGGAATATCTGAAGGGGTGGTTTAAGCAAATAGAAATGTGAGATTTCATTGAAGGCTAAGCGAATGCAAATATCCCAGTGGAATTTTTCATGTTGATTTTTTGAATCAACCGTTTTTTTGCGCCATTTGAAGAGGGCTGGAAATCCAAGTGGAAAAAATCCTTGCGTCAATACTACGATTACACTAATGATTTCTAATAGTGTCAATTTCGAGCCACCAAATAAGGCAAGTTTTCAGCATGCCTCCTCCAACAATGCATTCGAAGCAGCTTAACATGCCGGTATGCAAATACGAGGTCCTAGATGGCTCTCCAACAGGTCCGCCTGTTTATTTTGCAACCGTCGGACAAATGGTACGAGGGCGTAAAAACGAGGACAAAGACAAGAAAATTGAAATCGGTTTTAGGTGTATCACAAATGGACATGCGAGACTGAACATGAAAACACATTCTGTATGCTCGTACATTCGTGCTTCGTCGATGATGGCAATGGGCAAAGGGTTCAGCTATTGAATGAGAAAGGGTGCGCGTTTGATGTGTTTTTTTTTTCGTGTTATAGCAAAATGGTGAAATTGGATACACGATTGCGTGTCGAGACCATTTCGATTTATGAGCGTCCGAAATTATAGTCTTCACGTCGCCGAATAATTACAGGTGTGCTCTTGACAAATATCTGCTCACCAATCTCGAATATCCAACTGATTTGATGGCAGGAAGAGAAGCACACGTTTACAAATATGCCGATCGAGATAACATGTATTTTGACTGCCAAATACAGATCACTGTTAAAGAGCCCGGAATTGATTACTGTGATGTAAAGCAATTATTGAAAATGGAATTCCGGAAAACGTAGGTTTAGGTTCCGTCTTGTCCCGATCCGCCGAGAAGAAGACGATCGAATGAGCAGCAGCTGGCATATAATGATAATAATACCTTGGATTATGAAGGTTATCCTTTCAAGACATAATACCCTTTAAAGGATTCCTCGATTTCATAATAATCTAGCTCTTCATGTGTCACGTTCAGATCTTGATGAAATCAGCAACTACGTGATCCCACGCGATGACATCATCTCTCTCAATTGGCTCGAGCGAAATTTTGATATGAAAATTGTAATTTTAACAGGCAATTAACGCTATAGGCATATGTATCTTCCAACAAATTCTTATAAGGAAAACCCCAACGTAATAAAAATTCAAATATAATATTTTTTTCTGCTTGCCGTTTTTTTCATATCTACAATTTATGCTATTCGGAGAGTTTTACCGATACCAATAATAATTCCATATTTCAGGATGACGTCTGTATGACCGCATTAGGTACAACTCTTCTCGTCTTTCTGAATTCTTCACTCATCTTCATCTCCATATTTTTCATCGCTTACTCTTGCTGTAACCGAAGCAAGGACAAGATGAAGTCAACGATGCTCTAATGCTTCTCAATTATACTAATTTATTTCACCAGTCGTTGTGCAATATAATAATTCCTCATTGATAATTTGCTCATAAATTCTATTCTCTATGTTGCCTAATAAATTTCAAGAATTTTCCTTATCAGTAGTCCAAACATCGCTGACTGCCCTTTCAAGAATTTTTTCTTTGAAATGTTCCAATTTTTCGCCAATCTATAAAGCTAGAACGTAGTGTAGCCTTGCGGAACAGGTCAAGTTCATTGGAAAACAAAGCAAGTCCGGAGTCCTGCAACTAATAAAGAACACATGATTTCTCTAAAGCAGCTGGCGGGTAATGCGGATGGCATTCACGTGAATTCCACATGAGCGTTTTGGTATCCGTAATATGGGAAAATGTGGGCATACATTGGTATTAAGACAATTTAACAGGTACATAATTCATTTTTAAACTTTCAAAAACCAAAATTCAAACAACCTTATTAGTTTTAATTTATCAACGATATAAATTAGTTCGCATGACCACGGCCGTTTCGAATCCGGTTGCCTTTATATGATTTCTCCCCCCTCCCCCACATGAATAGCAATGTTTAACTTCCTCATAAACCGTCTTTATTGCGTTTGTTTATTTTCTTATAGTTGGGTTTTTTTCGAGATTCTGCTTCAGGGATGTCCAAAAAAAACTTTTTTGGATTTGCACGTTGTGAAATCATTTTTTTGTTTTGTTTGGTTTCGATTTTTTGATAAATTTGACGTTTTAATAAAACCAACTGTTTACCTAAACGGTTGTACGTTGTAATACATTCAGTTCACATCATCATATTCCAACGAAATTCATAAATTTCTTAAAAGCTTTTACTGAACACGTCACCCCAGAAAATAGGCTTGATTTGCGGAGTAACCGCAAATTTCTTGAGCATTCCCAACAGCAGTCAATTTCCCCCTCAAAAAATTTGCATTATTCAATGTAATGCGATACAAATCTGCTTGAAAATTTTCGCAATATTTTTACGGCGGCGAAACGCGTTTCTTTCCTCCATCCGCTTCTTCATGTGCATCGCACGTGAACAACATATGAGGGGGGTTCCCCTCCGTTGGTATATGTATGAATGTACCCGTTGAGTGGGCTGCTGCGGCGGCTGCTGCTGCAGCTAACCCATCCAATATATCGATTTATTTTCTTTTCTCATAATGACACTTTCGCAATGAATGCCAAAATTCTCATTCCCTCCACAAACATCAATTTTTATTGTTGATGTGTAATGCATCAAAGAAATTTTTTTCGCGCTATATAAAATGTTGAAATCGCCACTTCTTTTTCATTTTCCTTCCTTGTTTCTCGTACTCCCATCAGTTGCTCTTTGATTCTCAAACAACTGACTTGCACCTCGCCCACCATGCCGTTATCAGTGGGGTGATCTTTTCAAGTTCATCATAACGCCATTTCTTTTCTTTTTTTTGCAATCATGCTGATTATTCATTATTAAGCGTTTTCGCTCCAACGGGCGCCCGCGATGGCATCGCCGTCGACATCTGCTGACGCGTTTGAGACTTGCCAAAAGTGTTTGGCGGGTAGCGCCGCCGCCGCCATCAGCAAGACAACAACTGCACCATTCGACAGAGTCAAATTGGTCCTTCAGGTAAGAATTTAAAGATAATTCGTATCAAGCTCTCTTATAATTGAATGATCGATTTTTTTGTCCATTTTCTAAGCGCAATGCTTTTTTTTGCATTGATGACGCAATAAACGAAGAAAAAATTTCAACACCGATTTTGCTCTTAAAAGAAAATCCCCCTGCAGTATACGGTCTGAAAATAAGCTTTCATTTCAGCTACAACGCGCTGGAACCAGTGCTGAATACAACGGAATCAAAGATTGCATCACAAAAATTCATGTCGAACAGGTCAGCGCATATCAATTCGTCATCATTGACCATTTGAAATATTTCAGGGAGTGCTTGCACTATGGCGTGGAAATGGCGCCGGCGTCGCGCGATGTCTGCCGAATCACACGTTGAACTTTGCCTTTCGCGATATCTATCGCAAATTGATATTGAAAGATGTCGATAGGAAATCCGAGTTCAAAAAGTTTCTCGCAGGTCGCCGAAAAATTTCGATTGAAACGAATTGAATGGCATCGTTTTGCAGGAACCTTTGTATCAGGGGGTCTTGGAGGAGCCACAACATTATCGCTGCTGTATCCATTGGATTTCGCAAGGACTCGCTTAGCGGTTGACACCAATCCGGATGGATCGAAAAAATATAATGGCATGGTTCAATGCCTTCGCAAAATCAGTGCAAAAGAAGGAATCGGCGCTTGGTACAAGTAAGGGACCATTAGAAGTTTTTTGAAATTGCTTTTGATTTTCAGAGGCCTCTCTTCCGCCTTGCAATTCGTCGTAGCATCGCGTGCAATCTTTTTCGGTATTTTTGATAGTATTCGCACCAGCGTCAATGACCCAAACTCGCTCAATTTTGCTGCATGCTGGGCTATTGCTCAGGTTGGTCTCGCATAATTCGAATTATATTAATTATATTAAACATTTTCAAGGTTTCTATCATCACTAGCGGATTGACATGCTACCCGCTGGACACTATTCGACGCAGTATGATGTTGCAATCGGGTAAACGTGTCAAAATCTATACGAGTAACATGGACTGCTGGAAGAAAATCTACAAGAAGGATGGTGTTTGTGGATTCTATCGTGGCGCACTCACCAATTCGTTGCGATCAACTGGTGGCGCACTAATAATAACATTCTACTACGAGTTTTCAAAATATTTGTGAAATATTTTTAATTTATTATGATTATTTGTGGGATAAATTCGTTTCACTCTAAAAAAAAACTTGAATTGATATTGCTGAATTTTCAGAACGTTGCAAATGCAAAAAAAGAAGCTATTTTTTTGCTATTTTAGTTTTAGCCACAATTTTCAAAAAAAAAATAAAAAGAAAGTAATGACTTCATCTCTAGAAATATTTACAAAAAGATGAGCTGAAATTGCACATAAAGTTACCGAATTTCAGAAAATTATTTATTTCAAGTAGTCTTGAAATTCTTTCTCGTAAAATAGGCATTATAACAAAAAAATAAGGAAAATTAATTATTCAAGATTAAATATAATAAGTATTTTAAAAAGATGATTTCAGTTGGCCAATCTAAATTACGAATTTGAAAAATTAATTTTAGAAGAATATAAATTCTTAAACATTTTTCTATTATTCATTAATTTTTAAAAAGTTATTAGAATCGTTTTTTTGAATTCACAATGAAACATGTGAATCGTTTATTTTGCTCTGGACTCGTACACATAATTAAAATTTGTTTTAAAAAAAGATATGTCCAATTAAAATGAAATGTGCGCGAATTTTTATTGAGGGTCCTCCAACAGATATTTCTAGCATTTTTTTTTAATATGAACTCTCCATATCATCTCTAACATTAGTAGAAATTTTACCAATACTTAATCATCAAACAGTTTTTCGACATAAGCTGAAGTTTCTTGAGGTAAATGTAAAGGGAGGAGTATTGCTTAATATGTATTAAAATTTTGATCATTGTTCAAGTATAAAGTGCATAAGCAACTATGTATACATAGTTAGCTAATATGCCATTCTAAAGAATGTCCTTTTACATTAGGATCTAAAAATTTCCTGATGCACTTTAATCGGTCAAAGGATTTAATTATGAAAAAGTATAAAAGCTTTTCGAAATACAAGACAAATCAAATGATAACTTTTGCCATTCCAAGCGCATAAATGCTTTTCAATTCAAAAAAAAATTTGTTCAACTCTTGATACCGTAAAAAAATATTTAACAAATATATTACCGTAAAAAAATATTTCGAGCAAAGCCAATTTTCAATCGGCACCTAGTTTGACTGACCGAACTGACTTCATTTTCGTTCATATTCCATTAGTGCGTCTCACATCAATTAATATAAAACAATAAGATAATCCAGGTGCGCGGAATTCGGCATCAATTAGTTGTGGTCTCCACAGCGTGATCTCCAGCAGAGCGTTGAGCCGTAATTCATTCCTGGTTCCTTTTTTGGATACTGGTTGTACGACCCCTTTCACCCCATCAAATAATATTCTTCACGTGTACTAACTTCTGATAAAAAGTCGTCTTTTTGTAAATTGATCTAATAAATAATTGAGTTTAATGAGACGAAATGTCGATGTCCGAAATCGTTCAATATTTCATCGACGTTGATGGGGTATTGTTTAGCGGTCTTATCATGAGAAATGAACCCATCTGCCGACATTGAACAGGTAGAACTGCTTGGAATGTATGCGATCTCTTTCATTATCACAACCACATTATTTTATGAGTGGCTTTGTAAGTCAGCCGAGCGATTAATACATTCGACAGTGATGATACAAACGCTTCACTTCATTTTCTCTACAAAATTAGATTAAAAATTTCTGAAATTATCTCTTGCATCTGTATTGTATCTCACCTATTGTGAATTGAACTCGTTAAAAGCTAATCATGAGATTAGGTAGGCCGGGTGTAGAGGACACCATAATGAATCAGCTCGGCTTCGATTTTCAATTTTTGTATTACATATATTAGCCACGAAGACGTGATTTAAGGAACAACGTTCTCGAATACAAATTCTACCCCCCCCCACCCCATGAGCATAATCTTGGAAAACGTGCTCCGATTTTGTATGTGTGTATATGTGTCACCATTAAAGGCCCACATGGTGTTGTCGATTGCGCAATCAACCTCTCGCTCTGTCGTCTTGCTCTTAATTACTTATTGATTTATTGTCTTGCAGCTGAGTAATTTTCCCATCAAAGGAGGGTCATTTTTTGGAGGTTCCAAGAAATGAGCTCCAATAGAGTTTACCACACTGTAAGCTTAATAGAAACAATCAAGCGTTTGACACCAGTTTTTGCAGAACACTGAGGTGTGGATAAAATGCCGCAAGGTTTGTCGGGTATGCGAAGGGCCATTATTGGCACCTCTGGAAAATAAGCGCAATATTTATGCAGTTCGATGTGACGGCTGCCAGAATTTGGTGCATCATGAGTAAGTCGATTTCTGAAACCGTTTGAACTCGTTAATTACCTATGTATTTCAGATGCTCCTTGATTCTAGCCCAGGAAGTGAAATTGTACAAAACAATTCACTGTCGCGATTGTCAGCAAACCAAGGGACCTAGTGTGCGGTAGGAAAATACCATCATCAAACCACCTTGGGTAGAGTATTATACGCATTTTAGACACATTCGCCAATTGAAACGGCGAGCTGAAAATTCTGGAATAATGAAAGATCCGTCAGCGAAGAAGGCAAAAACCCATACAAAGAGTTCAGTTGAAATGGACAGTGAATGGGAGGCCACCGATAGCAATTATACTTCGACAGGATTCCCAATTACCGTATTCAATAATATATTGAAGGTGGGCTTGAGCTGCTCCTTTCGAAAAAATTCAATTTTATTCAGAATAGTCCAAGCACATCAAGCTCGTTCTATTACATTGAAAGGCAGGATATAAATGAAAATATGATGGACTTATATTAAAGTGCTAATTATATTGGGCCATTTTTTATATATTATATTTACCCTCAAGCTTGTTTTGATTTAATATTCTGAAATTCAAAAATTTTTTTATTATTTTTATTAGATAATTGATTTCTCTGAACTACCCGGTTTTTTTATACATATACATTGTTCACCGCTCTTTCCAAAAAACATCCTTTCAAAATCTTTTGTCTCGGTTTTTTCGAATGTACATTCCGTTGCTTTATGACCACTTACGGTTTTTACGTTGAAATTTTTTGATGTTCAGTTTTCTTTTTTTCACTGAAAATAAATATGAATGTGTTTTTTTCATTGAGAATTTGCTGCAAATTAGTTCAAGAACCATTTTCAGCTTGATCGTGAACGACAAACACAAAAGTGAGCGTAGTAATTTATAATTGGTCAGTACAAATTTCACACAAATTAAATATTATTCGTTTTTTGCTAACCTCAACACAATTAAAATTCCAAAGTTTCTCACACCTATATCTGATAAACTGATGCTGAAAATTTCTTTAAAATTTGCATTGGGGTTCCGTTTGATAAAGGATTTTTTGAATTTCACAGACGTTATTTGTAAGTTCAATTTTTTTTATTATCAACATCGAAAAAATTCCTGAAAATGATAAAGTTCGATGTTGAACAGCTCAAACAATTGTCAGCGAGGAAGCTCGATTAATCATGGAGGTAAGCGTTCCCTGTGCGAATTTTCACCAAACAAATGACGTCTCGTCGAAATTGCTGAAATTTGAGTTGAAACCGTTGCAGGCCTTCCGATCCATATTCTGTAATTCTAAAACCAACACTTCCAGATTTTATTTCTTAACGAAAAAATTTGGTCAAATTCGCGATTGGACGAAGCGGATTGAATGCATTATAAATACCTAAGTGTCAACTCAAACAAACGAGTAAACGACAATGAAATGAAAGCAACAAATAGTGAAAACAACACAGCGAATTTGAACTATAAAATGATTTCAATTGAAATTGTACGGCTCATATGTGTAGAGTCTACGTTTGAATAGGTACATATAGCGACTGTCTGGCTCTTGGATCGGTTCATCGGTGAAGGGAAACGTCGGCAAGACGTAGGCAATCTCTTGTGTGGTGGAGATTGGAGCCGATGTTGTTGTTGGAATCGGTCTGGAATGAAGATTTGCAACTACAACAGGGCAAACAACATTATGAAATTTGTACTCCAAAGAAAGATGAATGTGATTTTTGATCGATTCCGACTTATGTGTTCTTTATATGATACAAATCTGGTTTCTTTCGAATTTCGTCATTCATTTTCTCACAAAATTATCCGAATACCGGAAATTGATTTTAACGTTATAAGAAATATACGCGTGGGAGTTTTGAAGCGCATTAAAGCGCTTTCGCCTCAATACACTCACTTTTCCAGTTCGACAACTAGCACATTGTTGGTGTCTTTTTGATCATTCTGGTTTGGAGAACCAAATTGGAACACTCCAGAATAATCGAAACGGTCAAACGCACGCTTGATCCGGTTTGCACTGCAAAAAAATTATCGAGTAAGCATAATTCAAGGAGGTCCCCAGGGCAAGCTTTGCAAGAGCTCTGACTGCTTCAAAAACTATCAAAGCTTATAACTGAAATTACCCGTTATCATGCGATTTAATCATGATTGGAAGAGCCATGCACAGAATGATGGCCTGAATTTGAAGGATATTATTTGATGGCTTATTAAAGAATAACGGTTAACCTGAAAAATTAGCAAGACCTTGAGAAGAGACGACCGCATTCGAGTCATATCGAAGAGGACAACTGAAAGTATTTTTTTTAATCAGAGACACTCGACAAACAGATATGTGCTGGCTCATAAGATTAATTGCGGAATTTAGAAGCGGAAGATTCGATACACACGCTCACATCGACAGCACCTGGCATCCGGACCGTTGACGCACAGGGACGTGGTCTTTGAACCGAGGCACACAACACACACACCCCATACTCCTTTTTTTTAGTTCGCTGATCCGACCGTGTTATAAATTGCCGAGGTGTGGCAGAAACTGATAAACAAGATGATGAAGAGCGTAAAAAATGATCAGGAGAAATGCCAATTAATATCACCCGCTAGAATTTTTTGTAATGTGCGAAGTGGTAGAATTTTATCATAAATTCTAATGCGCAGAGTTTTTCATTCTAAAAAAAATTTTCAAAAATGCGCGGCTATGGACCAGAAGTAATTCAATAGAAACATTTTTTTTTTCGATTTGGCTTATAAGATCTATTTGAATATTAAAAATCACAAACAATCTTTTTTCTGATATATTTTTTGTTGTACTGGAAATTGTAAAAATGTTGATTACTGTAAATTTATATAAAAATCGATCAAGTTAAAATTCAAAGTTTACTGGGGGGTTTCGAATTACAGTAAAATAATGTGAACCAGATGCCAAAAATAATAACCAAATAATTGCAAAAAAGGTCTGACCAAACGAGATTGATCTAGAAAATGCAATTTAAGCCCTTTTTTGCATAACTTTTTTTGCGGATAAAATCCGAAGAGAGTTCACATTTGCAGGTAAAGTTCATCAATAAATCAATTTTTGCAACAAAAAAAAGCGCGCGGCATTTATTTCAAAACTTTTTGAATAATATCGGCTTCCTGAACATTTGATAGGAAATAAAATAATGTGTTCTCTCAGTTTTTTTGTGCTTGAATGATTTGTAGCGGAAGTTGAGCATAGAAATAATGTATGGAAAATCTCAAACATGAAGACAAATCAAGGGCAAATAATAACAGAACGACAAGGAACTTGACAAAGGAGTGTGCTATTTAGCAACTTTTATACCCATCAATTGCGAATTTCTCAGTGATGGTGCACAATGTATTTAATTTTCGATATCCGGCGGGTTCGATGATAGCATCGCATGATTCAGACACCGAAATGTCTGGAATTTCGTTATCCAAATATCTGACGAATTTCTTTTTCAGATCATAGCCAGGTGATGTCTAAATTTCAATGAGTCATCCGTCTTCGAATAGCTCATATACATCCTTCAAAATAATCCTTATTGTTTGCAATAAAAACATTCCTGGCAATTTTCTTTCGAAACAAAAACATTGGCACAATTTTTTGCTGTTCGAATCTTGATCCGTTCCGTGCGATGCGTTCAATCAAAAGTCTGCCCTTGCGAACACAGCTGCGTTTATCTGTGGAATGCGCACGGCTCTCGATGGTGAGTCACGAGGTGGGGGGGGGACCAACGGTGCCGCGAGATCACGGCGAGCTCCTGGCCGAATCGCACTCTCTAAACATTTCTGCAGTCGGCGCTATTAATCAACGAATGCTACCGTGCGCAGGTTGGTGCTTATCTCCTTCGTGCTCCGTTCGACTTCTCGAAGAATGTCCCAACTGTTGATCAAGGGGGGAGGGGATTTGAAAGATCACAAGACGTTCGACATCGACATTAGTTGAGTTCAGAGGGCTTTCAGCGATATGAGAGATTTTCTCTTCAAAAATTCTGGAGTCCATTATACAAAGTTCGTTCTTCTAAAGAAGTTGGGATACTAGATCTCCTGTAAATCCATTAATATTCATATTTTATGAATCCAAAAATGACTGGATCATTAAGACATTAATTCTTCTAAGGTACCAATTCTGCTCTTCAAGTTTCAATGAAATAAAATTCATGGTTCCCTAATAATGCCCAACCTTATGATGACGTAGTGAACTTATAAAATTTCTGATAATCTGTAATATTCAACATGGAATTGAAGGTAAACTATGATTTAGTTTTTTAGATTATACGGAATTTCGATTTTTCCCCACTTTACGCTACTTCTTCATTTTGGGAAAAAATGATTAATTTAACGAGCGTTTCCTTTGTGCTCTGCCCCTACTTTTCTGTTTTGGAAATTGAGCTATTTTCAAAGGTTCGGTGGCGCTTTTAATTTGTGCGCATCGATCTTATCGTTTTACGATGCCGTTAAAATGTTTATAGCATTTGATTATGAGAAGTACAATTAATATGGTTATTAATATTTTATGGTTTTCATTAATGATTGAAAGCCTCCGTTTTTCAGTATATGTAATTATATTAAGCTTCAGGGTGTTTGAAAATTTCAGATTGTGAGATTTTCTCAATCGCATATACCTTTAAATAATTTTCATTTTTTGAAAAATGAATAATAACAAATTTGTAATAATTTAGAATTTACTGGTGCCAATCGGGTTTTTCTACTGAAAATTGTAGTTAAATTATTATTGAAAAAGTTAAGAATGATTCTAAAGAAAGAAACGTGTCGGTGTACTCCACACGGAAAATTCAAGTCTGCATAAGGCTGTATGAATATCCCCCATTCCACACGAAAAATTCCTAGATAGCTTGACATCGATAAGATAGTTATACATGTATAATCCTAATCATAATCCAATTTTCTAAGAATGAGTTTTTCAGCAATAATCCGATCTATCAGATTAAATACTAAAAATTCAACGACTTCACATCTCAATAGCTTCTTTAAAAAAAAAAAAAAAAAAAACTCAAATAAGCTATGTATGACTGAATGAGCGATGATTAAAGTATCCCAAACTATTAAAGCTGTTCAGCGAATATGGTTTTTTTCGAACCAATATGCACATATATATTTTTTTTCATTCTAAATATCAGATATCCGTTGAGACTAATATATGAAGCCCTTTTCCAAAAATCATGACAAATCCAGAATTTGTTGTTTCCTGAGAAATTCCCAATGACAGCTGCATTTTCCACCTGTCCATGCGTATATGCCAATTTCGTTTCAAACCGAGAGCAAGTGCAATTAATCAGGCACTTCTCGCGGATATATCCCAACACCGGCGTCGTGTTTGGCTCGAAATTTTCGCTAAAAGGATTTCAATCTCGATGCCCTAATTCGATGCTGGGATTTGTGATAAAGTAAACAGGAAAAACGTGCGCATTTCATGAATTTCGCATGGACTAAGCCTGCGTCCCATCAAATGGAAGAAATTGTACTATTCGTGGTCAGAAATTAGTTTCGAAGATTGTCAGGAAATTAGAAGGGTTTGATCGCGAAAATAAAACATATTCTTGGGTTACTCATCGCACGAAAGTTGAAAAAGAAAAGTTTGTTTGAATACAATGCGATGGAAATATGATTATGACTAATCGTAAACTATACACATTTTAGTATGATGCTATAAAATATTTGAGTTTTACGGTGTCACGTTTTTTCACGAATTTTCTAGTTTATAAAGGGGCGATGATTTTGCTGTTTTAAGACTGATATTATAACAAGCATTGGCATGCTTGTAAACTATAATAATGATAATAATAATAATGAATCTCAACCTTATTCAAGAATCGCAATTGAAAATTTAATTGTATATCGTATATAAATATATATAATTTTTCATTTTTCGAATTTAGAGTTTCAAAAAAGATTTCCTCAATATCTTAAAACTTCTGTTACTGTCTTACACTATTTACAAACAATATTATGTGCTTATATTGCTCCTACGATCCTCCCTAATCATTTTTTTCAGAATGAAAGCTTGTTGAAGAATATCATAATGTTCAAACATCAACCGCCGTCTTTCCACCTTTTCTTCAAACGTCTTCTGCTTTCCCAAAGACGCGCGAAATGTGCGTCAATTCTCGTCTTGGCGCGCAATTAGTATAGCACTGCCCACTTCATGACACGCTTATTCACTCACCCTCGGCGGCAGCGTCTCTGCCATTCGTGCCAATATTCGTTATAGATGTTGTCCTGAAATGTCAAACAAGTATTTTTAAGCGCACATTTTAAAATACTTGTTTCGACATTTCGGGAATACTTCTATACAGTTTTTCCGCTACAGTAAGTCATTCAATATTCTGAAATTTTTGGAGAAGCACGACAGGTTTACAAGACCGGTTTTTTGCAATTATTTATGGTGAGTGAGAAGCTTTTCAAATATAGGGCTCGATTATTGATGGTTGAATCTCATTAGAAAGAACAATAACATTTCGACAAATCGAGAATTCTTTTACGACCAAGCTAGCATGTGAACTCGATACCGTCAAATTGGCAATGTTTTCGTGATCAACATGAGCGGCATCAAATTTCAAGACGAAGAGGGACATAAATATTGTAGAAGGTCCTCATTTTTCCAATGTGTTAGAGAGGAAATTAGTTGCTGCAAAGGGACTGGGAAATATATGTAAAATGTACATTTTACATCTTCAAGGAAATGTTTTATTCAACATATCTAATTCTAATTCAGCCTTTTCTTTTCGGGATTGTTGAGTTTCCAACAAAATCAAAATTTTTGAAAGCTATCATTTTAATAACGTTAATTTTTTAAGATTGGCCTTCAATCTGCAAGAGAAAATCCAAGAAACAGGTACTTACTCGAATTTTGGGCTAAACAAAAATTAGGAATTTTTTTGAAATAGCTTTATGTTGAAGCTCATTAGCTATATGTTTCATTTTTTCGTTTTCACTACGATTTCTTCAATTTTCAAGTCGACGTTTTTCAATTTTATAAAAAAAAAAACAAAAGTTCAGATTTAATCGTACCATTCAGCAATTGAACTTCTTATCTATGGATCATTTGTACGACGACAACGGCATTCATGTATTGTTTCTCTCTACAAATATACCCACATTTCTGTTTTAAATAAATAAAACTTTATTTTCTTTACTAACCAAAAATCGTGTACAAGCAATGAAATAAATACATATTAAAAAGGGTCTGCAGAACACCGACATTATTTCATGTCATTTCATTTAATGATGAAGTTTCATTAAATCAAACAGGCATTTTAGGTTTTTTTTTGTGCAAGGGATTTTTTTTCAATAATTTTCAAATTGACTCAAATAATGTAAAATTATCAGTATTTTACAGGTAAACTAAAATCTGGCTTCTGGAAGGGGCTGAAACTCACATTCAACCAATTTTAAATAATGATTTTACGGACAATCTAGGCCACCTATATAAACAAAAAATAAATTTATTAATGGGTCAGAATGCTTTTAAAACAAAAAATACTTATTTATTGGCTAATCGCAAAAAAAAACTCTCTAAAGTTCAAGTCTTCTTTCTATACTAAAAAATCTAATTCAGACGTTGACACAGATCAAAAATTGAAGCGTAATAGAACACATTCATTAAAAAATTTACACGAAATTTGAAGGCAATGAAAATATTAAATGAGAAACATTCAATTGTCGTGGGGTCAATCTTCGTCGTATTTTTTCTCGATGAAAATTGAATGGGTGCCGTTGAAGAATGCTGGAAAACCCGAAAGATCGTGAATGAATTTTCATCAAAAATTTAAAAAAAAACCTTCATCGAAAAGGCGTCTTCGGTGACGTTGCAAGTATTTCTTGGTAGCTTCGGCATCCAATATCTCATCGATAACTGGTTTTCGTCGATTCTCATTAACCGGTAGAACAAAACTAAACAAGTTTCTGTTTTCTCAATTCAAAATATTTACTCACTTTTTTAGAACTTTCTTTTCCGTCATTTTCGACAATACATGTGATTCTGGAGGTGGGAGAATTCGAGAAAACGATTCGGGTGTCTCGGGTTCTGGAGTGGATGATCTAATCGCATTCAATTTTGCAGTATACTCTTCATCGGTTTGTTGTGAGCAAAGAACTCGAGTGTTGTCCAATCTTCTTATAAATGGGACTTCCGGTGATCCATAAAATGCTTGAGTAAACGTGCCGGACGCACGCAACAAGCTCATTCCTGTATTCTCATCATCGGAATCGGATTCATCCGAAAAAATACATTCCGACATCTCATCGCATAGTGGAATTGCAAATTCTAAAAATTTCCCATTTTTCCAAGATTTGTTTTTTGAAATAAACCAGGCAGTTCAAATTCTTCTACGTCAGCTCTCAACGCATCAATTGTCTCCTGTTCGTGAAGTAAAATATTTTTGGTTTTCTTCGAAATATTCGGCTCCATTGGTCTGAAATTACAGATGATATCAATAGAATTGTTTTTCTCACAATTGCGCGATCGCTTCATTATCCCGATGGCACAATTCAAATGTGTCTCCAATCGGCTTGAACTTTTGAAGTTTATTTTGCGAGAAAATATCGAATAGGACATGCCTGCAAAAGTATTTATTAATTTCGCGAAAGATAATTGAAAATCCAACGCAAGGCGTGTATTATGCGCCGCGCAGCATTGATATTTGCATGCGAAATAATCTTCAGAAAGTGTCGCATGAAACTCGCAGAGCCGGCCATTTTCAACCACCAAATAATTGTTCTGAAAATTGAAATCGTATCACTTTTTTTCTCAAGCAAATTTAATTATTTTACGAGAAATTCATGTTCAATCTTCTCAAGATTCCATTTCTCCGATTCTGGAATATTAGTAGGCGCATTCGATAAAATAATTGCGGCGAAATCCTCAACCGTTTTCAATGTTCCAATATATTCTGAATTAACAGTGAATATTTCGATTTTCCCCTCCAAATTTTTTACTTTTATAATCAGCGAGAGCCTTTCTTCCCGATATTATTGCAAGCGTTTCAAGACATCGCGTCTGAAAATGAAACCAATTTGAAAAGCCCCCGCTGGGCGGGAAATTACGCCTTACCACCCAAACATATTGCTTACTGTCGCAAAGAATAACAGCATCCATATTAATATGACTAAACACCCAAATATTGGCATCAATAGGAGACATCCCTTCTTTGGGACCACTTTGTGGGATTCCAAGGCAGCGGCATAAAATAAAAAAAATTTTGTACTAAAATTATCTCAAATCTTACTGTATATGTCAATAGTAGGTTTATCTGCCAAGTAATGTGGATTTGATGGGCTCGCGTTGTTGGGATAATAAGCTTTCTGGTCAAACAGAATCTGAATTGTCTTTGTATCGGTAAGGCCTAAAAACCAATAATTAGCAAAAGATTGTTTTTTTTTCAAATCAAAAACCGGATTGAAAATCAAGCGTTGAAATTGATATTTCGGCTGGATACGTGTGAACTGATTCACTCTTAATGTTGCAGATGAAGCTTATTGGAAACACGGAAATTAATTGAATTTTGTTCGAAATCGGTATCAGCGAATTTTCCAACTCATCTGTAATTGGTAATAAAAATATTCCAGATTTCTAAGCCTCACTATGAAAGAGCCTTTTTGTCGCATTTGTGAGTTCACTTCGATGGTTTTGACGCATCATACGAATGTCCTCAACGAAAATTGGCTGAAATTCAAAGTTTTTCACTTTTATCTATTTTTTTCAATGTATTGCCAACCAATTTTTTGTGCGTCGTCTGCACTAGTGGTATTCCGGCGACGTCAATTATTTCGTGCTTATTTCTCATTCTCGCGTCACGATTGTGATCGATAGGAAATTGAGAAAGTTGCAGATTTCGATGGCGCTCCCGGAAATTCGTTCTCTAAACACTATTGTTTTTCCATTGGTCCATTTTTTTTCAATTAAAAATATGCTATTCTATTAGAAGGACATTGTTTCAATTATTTCAGACCGTAAAACTAAGAACTGGAAAGCTCGGAACGCTGTGGTTTGCTCCGCAATGAGCAAAACAGGAACCAACAAAGTTGCAATTTAAAAAAGTCATTTTCAGGAAATTTCTGTATTCGGATATTTTAGGTCCGTCCTTCGAGAAAAACGGAAAATTTCTCAGAATCTTGTTATAAATAATTTTTTACACTTCATGAAGCCATCATTAGTCCCTCAAAATAATTAAAGAGCGCCCGCCCATGCTTAAATAGAATCATTATCATGTTAAAATTTTCTATTTGTCATTTAATTTAGACCATTTTATATGCAATTCTATGTGATTTAGACCATTTAATTTTAATTTAGATCACTTTATTCGAAAGTCTACGTGCCAATAATTTAAAAGCCTTCGATGATATTCTTCCATTGTCTGCGTAATAGGGTGGCGGGGCCATCAAATTCTCGAAATCAGTGTAGATTTCAATTTATCGTTGGCTGAATATTAAATACGCCTACACTACAATGCAATCTACGCAGTTTCGCGTACTTCTCACTGCCTCGAGACGCATTGGCACATAGCCAATAATTTTTTTAAACTTGGTCAAGTCGTTTGACTCCGACAATAATACTAATTAATAATCGCCTTCCCAGCAATTATTTTTCAGTTCCACTTAGATTTCCCTTTTTTGGCATTTTCTTTAATACCCTTTCAGATTCATTGGCAGCATTCAACCGATTTGCTTTCTCCTTATACATAGTTTTCACGTCATTTTCGACCGCTGAATACAATCCATCCATTATTTCTTTGTGCTCTTGATTTCTTACATTGTATGGACAACCATAACGATTTTGAAAACTGAAATTAACTAAAAAAATATTTTTTATTCAAAAAATTTTATTTACATGGTGTATCCTTCCTTTTTGAGCCACAGAAAATAACCATTTACTTTTCCAGACCGCTTTTTCGTTAAACCGAAATTTGTTGGAAAATTGTAGGAGCTGCCGCTAAAATTTTGGACTTTACTTTATCTCTGTAAAGCTTTTAATACCCTATATTTTCTGTACTGTTCGGCTTTTCACTTAATTTCCAGTTTTTTCCTTCTCCATCGTCGTCTGACATTTTACCCAAATTTTCTAAAAAAAATTCCTGAATTATAAATGTAAAACATGAAAGAAATACTATAAAGCATAAGGTGATTTGTAATAAAAACCACGTCCGAAATAAAATTTTGGCAAGCTTCCTATCTTCAATAGAGCGCATTTGCTATCACTAGTTTAGTGTTCACTTTTCAGTGTCTGTTATTTTTTTTCGTTTTTAAGATTTCTCGCCCATTTTTCTTCAATAATGTATATTTTTTATTCTTATTATTTTATGGAAATTATAATTGCAGCCAAAAATTTTTTTTAAAGTTCTTGAATTTTTTTTTAGAAATTTTTAAAGCATAATAGAAGAATTTCAGTATGTTTCTCATATGGAATTGGATTTTTCTTAAAATTAACTTTTTACATTATTTAAATACCTCAGCCTTCTTGTCATTCCATCAATAATTTTTTCCATATTGTAATCCACGGCTCACAATCATAAAACGCATTTTTGTACTATACATATTTCATTCACAGTCATGAATGATAAAATTAAGTTTTTGTTTAGGGGATGATAAAACTTTCAATTCACACCAAAATGTATTTCCTTTGTTACGTCAAAGTGCAACGAATTGATTCTTGTCACACACACACATATATATATATATTTCAACGGGACCCTGTTACACCAATTGTCACATTACACGAAGCATTTTTTCTCACACATTTGTCTTCTTGTTGTGTTGAAACAATCTTCTTCATCTCTTCTTACTTTTCATTTCTTTTCGCACAGATTGCCAGAGGAATTACTGAAGAATAATGTAAAATTTGATGCATTATGCTTACACCATATATGGAAGCATCAGCAGAAAAGGGAAAAAATGAAAAAAGGATGTTCAATATTTGAATAGAATATCTAAGAACATAATGGCTAATTCCATATGAGAAACACACTGCAATGCTTCCATTATGATTCCATATAATTTTTTTTGATTTCCACAGCTCGCTATTGTGCCGATTTCGCCGTTTATTTGTAATATATCTATTCAGCACTTAATCTGTTTTTGCCATTGTAATTTCCACAAAATAATAGATAGCTCAAGAGTGAATCTACAAGCCAAGCTGCAATGATGTTTGATGGTTGGACTAACCATTAATACTCGAAACAATTTTTTTTATTTCATTGAAAAAATAGTTATAAAAATCGATATGCTTTAAAAGTATACTGATCCATCCAAACGCAATCAGTTAAAAAAATATATATAATAAATTAGTACTAAAATCTGTGTGAATTTTCTTTATAAATAACTAAAAAAAATATTTTTATAAGTCATGTCAGGAAAAAGAGAAAAATTGTTTTTTTTTAATTTATTTTTGCAACATTGTAATTTTCTCAACTCATTATTTTTTTCCCATTTTTATTTTCTGAATTACGCTGTGAAGAAATCTAAATATTTTTCACTCTTTTGAATTTTTTTATTGACAAAAAAAAATAGAAAAATAATGAAAAAGAGATCAATTTCAATAATTTGTTTCAAACACAATTTGTGAGGAAAATGGGTCTGGAAGAGAATCACAATATCTAATTAATCACAGTCAATTTTAATTCTTCTGGGATGCAAAGGAAGTGGGCCGAAGACTTCGCATCAATTCAAATTCTGAGAAAATTTGAAAATTTTCAACATTATTTTAAAAAAGTCACTTGATTATTAGGTTTTTAGGAAAAAAAAAGGAAAGGACTGGCGATGTGAAAAACGCGGTTTGGGGAAATATATGAATGAAAACCATGCCAAACAGATGGTCAGCACAAATTAATAAAAATGATATATGAAAATTAGACGCTGTTAATTGGCAGAAGATGTTTCGAATTAGTAATAGGCGGTATATTCGCGCGGAAAAAAACACACACACACACTGAGAGAATCAGAAAATAAATATTGCACATATCCGCGGCTGATTGAAAAAAAAACAAATTTCGTGTTTCTAACCGAACTTAAAAAAATGTTACCCTCCTAATTATAAATTTTATAACGTTATGAGTATGCTTATTCGCATATTACATTGAAATTGGCTTCTCATTATGATAAAATTGGAATTGAAAAAAGAGTTGTATGCAATAAAACAACAAAAATTTTATCGAGGGAATCGTGTACAAAATAAATTGTTTTTTTTTTAATACTTATTAATTATTGATACAAAATAATATTTATATTAGTTGTTTCCTATTTCTTAAAAGTGCTCTTTTTGTATTAATTCTAGAATTATATATGATTGTTGTTTTTAGCTATTTTCAGATATAATTAAAAAAAAATAAATAAAGAAAAAATAAAACAGTTTCAGCGGTTTTCCTTGACTTATTAGTTAAACGACACTCTTTCCAGTAGAAAATAAGAAATAATTTTTGGAATTGCGATACAGAAGGATATTGCCGAAAAAATGAATGGAATGCTCATTTTTCAAAATAAAGTAGGTACTTTGTGTAAATCTCCAATTAATGTTTAAAGCCAATCATGGCAAAAAATTTTCTTAGAACTAATTAAAATTTTTCAAAAAAATGGAAGAACGAATAAATGGCTCCAATTGGTCAAAGAATTTAGTTCAAAAAATTTTATAATGCATTTCAATATGAGAATATTAAGCTCTTGAAATAATATTTTGAAGTTCATGATTCTATCAATGGAAGTCAAAGCAAAAACATTTTGCGAACAAAAATATTAGAAGTTAGATAATATTTTTGCAGCAATTGTTTTGATTTTTTAAACCTCGGAGTTTTCGATTTATTATTACCAATTAAGCCATTGAATTCGTCGTCGTACCATATGAGGATGATTTCAAGTTTTAGAAGGCCAGCATATCAAAATCTTACTATAAAAATGTGATATGTCTTTATAATTTTACCATGTCTTGAGTTCCAATATTTTGACGCTCTAATTGAATTTTCACGTCGTATTTATGATAAAATTTGTCATCTGAAAATATTTTCTACTTATTAACAATAAAACATAACGGTGATTTTTTTCATATTGCAATTTTTTTCAAATTATAATAAATTTTACATGATAGAATAACAATGATTCATCTTACTGATTGAATTGATATTTATTTTAGAATTACTGATTCTAGACTGTGCATCT